TACTGTGCTAAGTTTTTAGACAGGTTGGAAACAATGCTGTAAAGGTAGAATTGTTTCAAAAATAGACATGTTAATAGATTATGTTTACGGATGAACAAAATGCAACGTGAGTGAACAGAAACACATCAAATCAGTATTTGGTGTGATCTGTCTGTCATTCTGACCAAATCCCCAACTCCGTTTGCAGGAACCTCCGACATGCTTCACTGTTGCCTGCACCCCTGTCTGCCTTGAAATCTCTGCATGGGAGAGACCTGCTGAGATCCATGCTGCCTAACTTGTGTCTTGTGGATCACTTGCCATGTTGTATGACTTTTGACACCTTGTTTGGCTGTTCCTCATCCAGCTGTATTCCTCCTGCACAGCTATTTCTGTTCCTGTTAATGATTGTGTTTTGACCTGCATATTGAATTTATGATCATTAGCATGCCTTCATTATAAATGGTTAATCATCTGACGATATGCCCACAAAACCCCTGAGTAAGTGTACCTAGAGTACCTGATGCTGTTTAGAAGGCAAGGGGTGGTTGCAATAAAATATTGATTTGATTTAGATTTTTCTTCTGTTTACTCACTTTGCATTTTGTTCATTGATTAATTAGAATATATTAACATGTGTCTATTTGAAAGAATTCTTACTTTACAGCATTTCTTCCACACCTGGCAAAACCTTTTACACAGTACTGTATAGTGTTTCCCCCCGACCCTGTACACAGGATAAGCGGTTGATGATGGATGGATGTATAGTGTTTAAATATATGCTACTCAAACCTTCCTTCTCTCTGAATACTGGAATCAGGATGATTGATGCTCTATTTTTCGGCCATGACACAGGGAGAGTTATGACTCGGCATGAGTCTCTGTGGTGCAGAGTCAGACATGGAGTGTGTCTCTTGAATTTATTGAAAATTCAAGAGTCTGATAAATCCCACAGCTCGGCAGGCTGGCCGGACACAGGAGTTGTCCTTGATTTGGCTGTGCTGCTGCTATGTGCGTGCTGAGCTCGGCTGTCAGCAGATTCTGTTGTTGTGGAGTTGCATACATTATTGAACTGCTCTCCTTCTCCATCTCCTCCTCCTCCTCCACCTCCACTGCCCTCCTGAGACCCTTAAAGATAAAGCAATAAATACTCTACCTCAGCATTTAACAACCATCCTTCCCTGTTCCTGTTGTGAGTCCACAAGCATGTAATTACATTTCCTCTTTTAAGTGAGTTAAACACCATGATACTGGCAAACACAATTCACTATGTCCTTGGCATTGCAAGTGCTGACATCCTGTGTGGACACTTGGTTGGCTTGGTGGTTGAAGGGTCTTCTTGGACTAAAAAGAGTGTGTAGGTTTCCACTAAATGAAGCCTTAGCTTGACGCTCTGACTATTCCCCTCGTCCGTGTCCACATCAATTTACTTAGATACAAAAAAACACTGGTTCAGGAAGATTACAGAAACAAGAGTTGATTGAGTAATGAGAGAAAAGGAGGGGGAGGGAGAGAGGTCAAAAAGCTGTGTGGCTCCACTCTCTGTTTGCCTGACTGTCCTCTAAGATTACTTCCTAAACTTTCTTGTGAGAGAATTCCCAAGCAATTAAAGGTGCAGTTAATAGGAAACAACAATCACAGTTGTCTATTTCCCAGACATTACCCATGTTAAATGTGTTTTACATATGAACTTAAATTACTGCATGCAACTTAGTCGGATATTTCTATTAATCAATAAACTGCACTTGGGCTCCTACAGAATGCTTCATAGCTTTCAGTTTGCCTAAACTACAAATTCGATTTTTAGAAGCTGTGAAAGTTGGAATCTGGCAGAAGCTTTTACAAAGCTGCTCTATCTTAGTCTCCAGCTCACTTTCAGTTCAATGTTTTCTCTTTTCATTAATTGTCTTGTCCTTCCCCTCTCTATCTCCCGTAATCCCTCTGTCTCTTTGTCTGTCTATGTCTCCCTGTCTCCCTCTTGCTCTCTCCCTCTAACTCCATGGCTATATATAGACTTCTGCATTGCAGATGTCCCAGAGCCCTGCAGTTCTGGAGGAGCTGCTGAGGAGTCCCAGCCAAAATTTCAGACTGCCTGTCTGACACGGAACCCCGGGTGAGCAGAAACTGCAGACTAACTGTGTGCCACCGGATGGAACAGTTACAGCATGACACAGTTACATGTGCAGTCTGTGCGCATCACGGCTGAGCAACGTCTGGGCCATCACACTGCAGCAAGGATGAAGTGCCCCTCACAGATTAGCGTCAGAACCACTGCAGTCATAATCTTTGTGTGGGTGGGTAAGGGAGCGTGTGGTGGGGTATTCTTGTTGTCATGCTAATTTTTCTAAACCATTTCACCTGCGTTCTTACATTCTTGTTTTAAAAGATTTGCTGAGTCATGGTCTATTTATTTTTTTAGAAGCTTTAGATGTTTTTAAACCTCAAGCATGGATCGTGAATAAAAACACCTTCAATAACAGCATTAATTATACTGTATGATCACTCCAATATATATATTTTTGCTAATGCCAGTCGTGCAAAATTATTGTAATAAATCATTAAGACTTAAGACTTAATAATAACGTTGGTAAGGAGATGTATTGAACATCACTTGACCAAGGTCTACTACTATTAGTCTACAACTATTTAAAGATTGGTAAAACTACAGCAGATGTAAGTTAGAACAGGATAGAAGCTTAATGGAGCCTTTTAACATCACGGTTCAATAGTAACATAGGAAAAAACAGAGGTGGAAGGAGTTTGTCAAGTGAGAGGAGACAAGACATACTGGTACTGACTAATAATTTTCATAATGTCATATGCTCTGTAGTGGCTGAATGGGATCGTCAACTTGCCAGTAAAGCTAGAAACTTTAATGAAAACTATCGAAATTACAGGGCAAGTTTATTTGTATCAAGGCAGTTCAAAGTGATGTACATAAAACATGAAAATGCATGAGCAAGAAATCCGAAAGAAACACAAGACAATATAAAAAACAATTAATACAATTTACAAAAAAAAACTAAGATAGAAGTTAAAAGTAAGCTAGACAAACCTCAGGATGTTGACAGGTTCGTTTACACAGTTTTGTTATTCTGTAATCTGTCATTTTGAATGTTCTGAACATCACCTATGGTTTATTTAATCTGCTCTCCATGATGCTGAAGTAAAGATCTGGTGAGTCATGCTTCAGCTTGCACCAACTGTGTTCATTGGAGGAATATTAGTAACGTATTTAGAAGAAATGTATGCAGAAATGGCAGAAAGTTGGGCGAATCGCTACAGAAGAGGGACAGTGGTGCCTTCCATTAAAACATTTTTCAGTTAGTAAACATAACTTTAAGATTAGTCTCAGATCTTTTAGATTGTTGTCCGAGTGGTTTGCATCACCCTAATGTTCCTGAACAACCGTGTGCTCCTTCATTGGTGCTTGTTCCAGTCATCCAACCCTGTGAGAAAGTGAACACCGTACACTATAATGTCAGATCCTATTGAGCTGTTGTATTTGGGCTGCAATGCTCACCCCCTTTCTCTTCTGCTGCAACAGTGGTAGACCATTAAGTATTTATGACTGCTGGGTGCTGTCAGGCCACAGAGCTGACACACACACACACACACACACACACACACACACACACACACACACACACACACACACACACACACACACACAATTATAGTGTGCTTTTGCTGCCACTTGGTGTTGAAAGTGCAAATTACAAGTCTAAATGTGTTTGGGCCCTTGGCTTTACTGAAAAAGTTACGCCTTGACAAGTACATTTCCTGCTCCCGCTTCTTCTCTGCAGTGTGTCATCCAGCTCATCCAACCTAGCACCAACCCACCTCAACACATCTATTGAATAAACTCTAAATTGACTTGGTTCTGTCCAATCATAAACAAGAAGTGTTGGACCACCCTTTCTGTAATCTGAAATGTCCTTGTGTTTTTGTGAAATGTTGTGTTTCCAGAAATGCTGTTGTGTTTTTTGAAATCTTGTCTTATAAAATGTCGTGTTTTGTGAAATGTCATGTTTTCGTAAGTATTGTTGTCTTTTGTGAAATGTTGCGTTTGTGAAATGTCCTCATGTTTCAGAATGGTGTGGTATTTTGCTGTTGTGTTTAGTGAAATTTCATGTTTTTAGAAATATGTTTGTGTTTTCTGAATTGTTGTTGTGTTCTGACCCTAGGAGCTGCAGTCAACATATATACAGTGTGAATGAGTAAACTAAAAAAATTAGTGTAATACACTTTTTTTCTTTTTTTAAGAAAATGTGTGTATCAGGAGCAATAGTAAAATTTCAAAAGGCCTCATTTCACTAAGATTTAAAAGCTAGGTCAAAGACTAACTGGGGGCCTGAACGTCACCAGTTAGTCACTGTTATATATTGTAATGAAGAATTGGCAACACAGAATTATAATGCTGTGTTTTTTGATCATCTACAATTGTTGCACTCCAAACACATTACAAAGTATTTGTTTTGAATATAGCCCACACCTCCCATGACTTCAGAGGACTCTGCTTGCAACGTCAAGTTAGCCAGAATACAACTAAACATTAGGGGACTAAACCTTCAAAGTAAAAGCACACTGACCACTTTGAAAACGTGCACAGCCATGAGTCCGTTATTTGTGTTTCATTGTAGGCCTATTCAAGAACACATCACACCGCCAAACACATAAAATAAAAACAAAAAACAACAGAAAAACAGAGACAACGACTAAAATGACACTTTGGGACACCTGCTCCAGAGAAGAGCTGCACACGCCCATGCCAGCCCTGCTCAGGTACAGTTTCTGCTGCTCACCCAATCAAGATCAACTGGTCCAGCTGCAAGAGCACAGCTGGTACATGAACATGTAGGAAAGTAGATTGTTAGATTTAAGTGTTTTTATATCTTGTTCAAGGTTGATTTTACATACAGAGTTAGAGTCACCCGCTTATGGAGAAAAAAAAATCACTGTGTAAAATGTAATCAACGTGGAGTTTATTTTGAAAACCGGAAGCTGTCTGCAGATATTATGACTTGACGCCGATTGGGTTCTTCGAGTGAAAAGTGTTGCTGTGCAAAATCTAGCAAGAAACCTAGCAGGAGATCTACCAGTCCAAATAAGGAGTTCGTGTCTCGGAGCCACAGGACCTTCGCTGTTGTCGTTAGGCTACGATCTGCTAAGATGACAGAGCTAAGGCACCGTGGAGCCAGAGACACCGACCCAGCGTTACAAGAGCAGCCGTCAGAGGACAAGGTAACGTCAGCCCTGCCATTTGGAAGCGATGCTAACGCTAGCCAGCTAGCCATCAGACTCCTAGTGCATTATACTACTCATGTAACGTTAGCTAGTGAAAATGTCATGCCTAAATCGGTGAAATCCGGCATTTTAACATTATGTTTCCTTTAGGCACAGCCTCTTACTTAGTTGTATAACAGCGGAAACTTAAAATATCTTAAAAGCCACTGAAATGCGCCATACAAATCATCCGCCAAACCACTTAGTTTTTACACTTGATTGGCTGATGCTCTTCCTGGGTGTGCTTTCGTCGTGAAAACAAGCAAAGCAAAATTTTATCCATATTGTCAATGCTTTCTTTATCAGGTATACGCCGACGTACAGAACGGCTCCCCTTATATTGTAAAAAGCCTTAAGTTGTATTTGAACCGGTGATTATATTTTATGCCAAGCAAAGCAACAGTGAATTGTAAAATATTTGACTGATGTGTTGCAGCTAACGTTAGCCATAACGTTATGACACGGTCTTTCATCAGGGCTGCATATGCGTTGAATTGTGAAAAGCTCCATGTCGCCTCCTCTGATAACAAGGGAAGACGATTATATTGCTGTTAACTAACTGAGGTATTTATTTTTCCAAAGGCGTTAGCTAAAGTCAACTGTTTTCTTTAGCTTGTTTACTAACGTAACGTTAACGTTACACGGCGGCTCGCTGACATCGTCCCTGCCAATGTAACAACATTAGCTTGACTTGCTGCTGCTACAACAATAACACCTGCGTTCGGCATATTATAATTCATCTCGTGTTGGATTCAGTGTAAAGGGATATTAATTCATTGTGTTGTCAACATAGATGTTAAAGTTGCTTCCCAGTGAATAGTCGGAGCCAGGGAAGGGGCGTGGCGATGGTGTGATAGATGTGGGGATCTATCTAGGACGAGAGGACATGATTAGAGAAACTGCTAAAGGCAGATGGGCATTAGCTACAGAGAAACAACAAACACACAAGGCATGTGAGGGGAATGGTGATTTACTAGTGAAGCCCACTTACAGCTATGACATTTGTTTCATTTATAATTTTTTTTGTCTTTTGGTATGTTTTAGAGCAGCCCACCAGAGACCGCTTAATGAAGTTTCTTTTTGTGGTACTAATTTGGAGTGCCTGTCAGGTTATGCAATCAGTTAATTACTTTTAATCATTATGTATAGTGCTCTTTAGGTAAGATTCTGACACATTAGTAGGTAGGTATTACAACTGTTATAAACCAGATCATACTGAACACAAATAAAAACAAATTGTTGAAATGGTGATAGAGAAACATGTAATAAATAAAATCAATTTGACACCTCTTTCACTGTCAAACTGATTTTATTTATTGCATGTTTCTCTATCACCATTTCAACAATTTGTTTTTATTTGTGTTCAGTATGATCTGGTTTATAACAGTTGTAATACCTACCTACTATTACAGAATACCCATGCACTATTCTGTTTCAGAAGTTGTGAAGTAAAGCTCAAAATGCAAACATCTGGATGCCAAGACTACATACATCTGTGACATAATAAAGCAGCTTTTACACGTAGAGTTAATACCAGTGTAAAGCAGAATGTGGCCGGCTATATTCCATGTAAAGACAACGTCCTGGTTAGTCTGACACTGACCTGTCCCCCCACCTGGTACAAATGCCAGAGCAGAACTAGGGTTTATTCAGTGTGGTGTTAGCTGGGCAAAATGCAAGTGCAGGTGTGGAGAGCATGGTAATTGAATGCCACAATAAGTGTCCTATGTGGAAATTAAGGCAAACAGTAAATTGTCATGTGCTTTTAGGTGAAGACTATAAGCGATATGTATTACTGCAGGACATAAAGCTGTTCTGGTGGGTTCTGGTGGTAGTGATCATACCAAGTAAACGGTTTGTGTGTGTGTGTGTGTGTGTGTGTGTGTGTGTGGGGGGGGGTTATTAAAAAAGGTGATTATTAAATCTGTTCTGGCCCTGCTATGACCTTTTTTTTTTATCTGGATCAGCTTTATAAGAACAACTCTAAAGATAATGACATTGCTTTATGAAGTGAGGCTGGCATTAGTTTAGGCAAGATCATTTTTACAGTGGTTTGCATAAATGGAGTGATGTTCAGTTCACGCATTTATGAATGAGCCATCAAACCACAAACATCAAAACACAGACATTTAAGATGCCTCAAAAGTCAGCTGCAACGGCGCTGACGTCCAGGTGATGTCGGGAAATCTCATTCTAAATAACCATCAGCTATTCAAAACAATTCCCCTTACATATTTGTGGCTGATGAAATCATAGCAGCTGAAAACCTGCATCACAAACCTCCTTATTTCCTTTTGTGGTTCATTTGTGAAGGCCCACTCTCTAGTGGGTTGAGCTCTCAGGAAGAGATGGCCTTAACATAAATGTGCTCACCCTTTCACACAGCTTGCAGATTTAGCTGTTTCCAATGAATTGGAGATGAACAAAACAGACGCACTCAGTGTTGACTGACGGTGGTGTAGCAGAAAGCAGGAAAGGGGAGGAGTAGCTATTTATAACTCAAGCATCCTGAGTGACGATATTGTCTCCATAGAAACCAGCTGGCGGAGGATGGATCTGTGAGTGTGTGTGTGCATGCTTCTGTATTGAGTTGGTGGGTTTGATAACTATTAAATAGCGTATGCTACTTTTGTAAGAGTGTTTCATATGATTTGAAGGGAAGTCACTGAAATTTTTCAAATCTTGGAAAATGTGCAGATCTGGTTTCTTTTAGCTGAGTTGATCCAGTTAAGGAATCAGTTTAGGTACACTGAAACAAAGGTGGACACACACTGACTGTTGCAGCTGTTAAGACATGATCCCCAACGTCAATATTAAATCTCTCTCTAAAGAGCCAGCCGAATCAGCATGGCAGAGTATTATTGCCACGGGAAAAAAGAGAACCCTTTTATAGTTTTAATGAGGTGCCTTTCACATTATAACATATTTCCCATGTGTTCACACATTTGTCAAATTATTATTATATCCATTTTTAGTGATATATTTTCTGATGTGCTGTTATAACATGTAGTTTCTTGTTAAAACGGAATACTTTGGTGTCTATGTTTAATATGTCTTTGCAACATGAAAAGGACCTTTGTAAAACTAGACATTTTTCTTGGACCATCATGCTCTAAAACTGTAGGTGTGTATTTTCATTAAATTTAAGTGTTACTACAAAGTGTACAATTTGGAAAATATATTGGAGAAGCATTTCAAAACACCTTCATGAGAAGCCTCTGAATGATAAAACATTTCAATATGATATCCATGTACGTTATGAATATCCAAATAAATAACACCAAAAGGTACTTCGGGGCATCACATAGCCTTACAGAGATAATACTGACAAAGCAATGTTAGGCTTGATCTTATCCGGCTAATGATAGTCTTAAAAAGATGTGTCTGTCCTTTCCCAAATGTCTTTACCGTTGCCACAGAAAAAAGGAGGAAACAAACCGGCTGATGATCTTAAGCGAATGCTAGCTAGCATTTTGCTAACATTAGCTAACTTAAGATGTGACAATGTCAAGTGTTGCTTTTACAGGTCCCCCATATTTTAACCATCTTCAAGATTTGTTTTTCTTTTCAACATAGACGAACTTAGCACATAGCACATCAGGAAAGGGAACCAAGCTTGCTCAACTGTTATTCGAGCACAGATCAGAAATTGGCGGGGCTTAACGAGTCGGTCGATTGCGAGGTGGTTGATTCTACATTGTCACAGTCTCATATAATGCACCTTTAACCTATTTAAGAAAGGGAAATAAAGTCCTACAAAAGTTGATAATGGCAGAAATGTTCCCACCTAGCCTTTGCGGGATGTTTGCCATCACCATTGTAAAGGCAAATGTGTGGAAAGAGACACAAAATAACATATAGTATTGTAAAGTGATAAATAACTGGCAGGGTGTGAAGGCAAAAAGCAACGCAGGTGTGTTAGTAATATAGAAAATATCCAGTGGCAGTATGTGTTTGTGTGGATAGTTAGATAGAGATTGAGTGGGCGTCATGAAACAGCAAGCCGACCATCTGCTGTGTGAACGGGAGATGAGAACTCCGAGCCTAATTTGGTCAGCGGCAGGAGAGAGGTCAGTGGGGAGTGAAAAGTGAAAGGACAAAGTGGAGAGGCAGAGATCAGTGTGTTTTGAAAAGGCATCTTAATCAGTGAACAGATTGTTCTGAGAAAACACCAAAGTGAATGGAGATGATCTGACGCACTGTTTAGCCGCCCACACGTACCCCTGCACTGGCAATACAGCTGCTGTTTGCTTAGTACTGCAGGCTGTGTCCACCCTGATATGATGCCCCTGCTGCTGTTTGTTCAGTGACATATCAATATTTGAGTACATATCAAATTTGTCAGCTGAGGCAGCTCATATTTTTTCAGAGGGGAACCGTTTTTGCACCAGTACTGATGCTGTTAAGAGGAAAAATACCTCTAACCTACATACCATATCATGTGATTTAGTTTTAATGTTTGAGTTGTCATGTGAATACTATTTACTTCCACGCTGACTGTTTACACTGAGGAACTGCATTTACACTCCTTTAGCTGCACAGGCCCTGTGTTGCTGGAAATGTGTAAATAAAGTCATATTCTTGTATAGTTTCAAATAGGAAAAAATAGAAACAATTTTGAGGCAAAATTAATTGAACTTATCAATTGAATTTATCACATGACTATCTAAATAAGAGCTATTGTTAAACTGCTGCAATCAACCCAAATATGGGATAGAACAAACTAAAATCTAAATGTTTTAAATACAAACACTGAAGATCCACTTATGATTCTGTGGTTGCACTTGTTTTCAAAATCTTCAGTGTCTTCTCCTGTGTCTCTGTCTGTCAGGGTTCAGACAGTGAGCTGAAGGTGGAAAAAGATGGTGTGTCAGACAGCGAGTCCAAGGTGGACTCGGGGGTCCCAGAGGTGCCGGTCACTTCTGATGACACCCCCGTGGTACTAAACAAGGCCTTGTCTGGACTCTCCTCAAGGTACCATCACTGTCAAAACCATATTTCTGAGTTTTGTCTGCACTAATTAAAACTTTCTTTACAGTGCACAGGCTGTTGGTGATGGCCAGCAGGAAATGTCAAAATATTTCTGGAAGTTTGACACTTTTTTTCATCTAATAAACTGCTCTGTTCTGAATTGTTCCACGAGTCACTACATTGTTGTGTAAGGAGCTGCCAGCCTAAACATGAGGCCCTTGATATCCTGGATTTCACATTGCTACACATTTGGAGGAGTCAGAAAATGAAACCTCAACGTAGTTTTCATTAACAGCAGCTATGAATCACAGAGCGGTTGAGCCTGTCTTCCTGGCAGAAACATTACTAATGTCAAACTTGGTATGTCCCTGTCTGAGACACAGTTACACTGCTGTTGAATCACTATGTAATGTGGATAATTCACAGTCACCACACATATATAATTGTTACCCTACATCAAGATGTCTTGAAGGACAAACGTGGCAGAGAAACACTGAAACCTGTTACCTGTGCTCACTGTTTTTTTTTTTTTTTTTTTTTTTTTTAAGACAAATGGTTAAATATGTTTTATTAAACTGTGTGTTTGTTCAGAACTTTGGACTGAATTGCGTGTGTGTGTGTGTTTCCTTCAGATGGAAGAACTGGTGGGTACGAGGTATCCTCACACTAGCTATGATCTCCTTCTTCTTCATCATCATCTACCTGGGCCCCATGGTGCTTATGATGATTGTGAGTACAAACAACGCTGATGGTGCTGTGAAAAAGCCCGGGACACCACTTGAGTTTGTTGCCCCACAGAAAATGTGAAAGTTTTTTTTTTTTTTTTCAGTGGAACAAAGATGCATAACAATTACACAGAATTCATGGTTTAAAATGTAACGATTGAGCCATGGTCTTGTTTATTTACATATTTATGTTAAGGTGCAGTTAATTTTCTCTGCAGCATGTTCTCATGGATTAATGGGATCCAGGCTCTCTAGTAACATGCAAGAAGTCTGCTCCTCTCATCTGGGAATTCCTTGAAAATAGGCCTGTCGGCTATTTTGTGTCACTAGGACACCAGGACGTAGGTGATACGGTTTTTCTCTGTGCAGGTCCTCTGTGTTCAGATCAAGTGCTTCCAGGAAATCATCACCATCGGTTACAGTGTGTACCACTCCTACCACCTACCCTGGTTCAGGACGTTGAGCTGGTGAGCATGCACACAAACACAACGTCACACATTTTATACAGCTGTATGTCCTCACTTGCTTCTTTCTTATTATGTTGTCTCGTGCTTTATTTGTTGCAGACTTCCTGAGGTTTGTTTTTTGACCTGTTTAAATCTTGAGTAGATTGTAGATTATTAAGCCAATCAGCAAAATCATGGCAAATCATATTGTGACTCGACACTGCTGTTTGATTTTTAAGCAATAGTTGTGTACAGTATTAGTGTGATAGATAGCAGAGCCCTGACATTCACTATGCCATGAGCCAGAAAGGATTGGATGAAAAATCGAAGCTGAATCCCTTGTACAGTGGACTAACAAAACATTTGGCCTTCTAACGAAGTGAGTCAGTGAGCGAAGATTCTTCAGATTAAATGTCTCACTGGTTTTTCTGCAGGCATACTGAATGCAGAGTCTGAGTAGCTGTGTAACTGTGAGATGTGTACATTCGCTTCACCCCCTCTTCCCCACAGGTACTTCCTGCTGTGTGTGAACTACTTCTTCTATGGTGAAACTGTGACAGATTACTTCTTCTCACTGGTGCAAAGGGAGGAGCCGCTTCGCATCCTCAGCAAATACCATCGCTTTATCTCCTTTGCCCTCTACCTCACAGGTACAAACACGGAGACTCGAGCTAGACTGAGTTCAGTTATTATGCATTTTGTTAAAACGTGTTCATTTAGGTCATTCATTATTGACTCGTGTCATGTTTGTTATACAGCGACCACATTTTGATCTTGTTCGACTGCGCTGACAGGTTTATGGGCAGAGCAGAAGTCACACATTGGTTACCACAAAACAGTAACACTCAACACTATTATCCTGCCATACAGAGGAGAAAGTGGCTGTAAATTCTGTTGTGGCCTAAAAGTGCCACAGGTATGACTAGTAGTTAGCAAATAACACATTTACATTTTATCAACTGAAACCATTAAACTTAAGGGGAACAGAGAAATAGGCAAAGGTCGTATATTTAATGAGTGAAGCTAATGTTTAGTCAAATATTAATGATATTGATGACAAAAGACAGGATTGCATCAGGATCTCTCAGGCTTGTCTAAGCACATGAAGTTGATTTATTCATTTGACTTTCAAGAAGGGAAATATAAATATATAGTATTAATATTAGGAGTCCAATCAAAATATTTCCACTTTGAAGTAATCGAAACATTTTAGAACATCAAACTTGATAACTTTACATTATTAGTTTAGATACTTTGGAGTTGGTTATTTCAGGCACACGCTTACCTGAGAAGTCCCGCTTCCTGAGCTGCAGGTTGTCACTTAGTAATTCACTGCTAATATAGCTGCCAGACAGGATGTGGACAGGAAGGAAGCAAACCCCTGCTTCTTGCCTACTAGATTCAAGGTGAAACCGAATGGCCCGGCTTTCTCACGTCATCTCCGAGAAGAGAAGCTTTGAAGATAATTTCTTCCAGTAAAAGCACTTTTGTCTGACATATTCTCAGCCTTTCTCCTCACCTCAGGATTGTGTACAGTATAAAACAAATGGCTCCAGTAATCTTGGTCACTCACTGCACATTAACTCTGGGCTTTGTCTCTGTCTGAAATAGGTCAAGCTAAATTTAGTTAGAGTTGACCAAAGATGACCGTGATTCTTTTTTAATTAATCTCCCTCTTCCTTCGGGCGCTTCATTCCTCATTGTGTGCTTATTATTATAAGATATTTCACATGACATTTGTCCGTTCGTTGCAGGTTTCTGCATGTTTGTGCTGAGTTTGGTGAAGAAGCACTACCGGCTTCAGTTCTACATGGTAAGTGCCCCCCATCCTTGCTCCTGGCCTCTAGCCCCAAGGCTACTGAGTTATTGATAGCTAGCTAAAACACAATCAAGTGTTTGTAAAAGTGGGCTAGAAATTGCCCTAATAATAAATGTCTGGCACACAGTCATTGCAACTGTGTTCAGTGTTAACCAGAAAACGAATTGTGCTGTAAAACATGCTGAAAGTGCTCTTGTGTCAGTGTAGTATATTAAATATGTATCCTGGGAGGGTATGCACATCACAGGCAGTTTTACAGCTTCACATACTCAAACATTCCCACCTATCAGTTAAGCATGCCCACAAGCTTTAGTTGTCTGTATGTGAGGAGTGTAGCTAGGTCTTGATGTCGAGGAGGAGGCACTTCCTCCACTCACATTTCCCAATCACATTGTGCATGTTATCTGGTCACATTTTAGCTGTTATTGCTACCAGGTGTTGTCCTCGCAGAACCCATCTTGGTCACTGTTCACAGTAATCTTTGGGTGGTGTATCACCAGGAAAGCACAAGTATATGTTGTTAGCATATGTCCAGTCTTTTGAGAAATGTTGTAATAAAGACTCGCACATGAATAGGAAGGTTTGATTTGCAAGCTAATTGAAACGTATCCTAGTGGAAACACACTTGGTTAATTTTGTTGTGTTGTCTGCACAGTTTGGTTGGACCCATGTGACTCTGCTGATTGTGGTGACTCAGTCTCACCTTATCATTCACAACCTGTTCGAGGGGATGATCTGGTATGTTAACAGTCCCTTATCTCCTCTGATACTGTACATTTGAACTAATTCTGCAGTAAAATGGCTCCGTAAGTAAAATCCAATTATGTTGAAATCCAACTAATCCAAAAATTATAATTTAAATGTTAAAGCTCCGTATTTGTACAACACTTTTCTAGTCTTTTCGACCAGTCAGCGCTTTTGCACTACATCACATTCACACAATGAGTCACCTAAGTGCTCAAACCGAACAGAAACATTCACACATATTCATACACGGGTGGAACAGTCACCAGGGGAAATTCGGGGTTCAGTATCTTGCCCAAGGCATACTTCGGCAACCTGCTCTACCTCCTGAGCCACAGCTGCCCCAAAGACACTGTACAATACAAGTATCTAGAAAAATTTACTCAAATTGCCTCAGCACATGTCTTGTTTCCTAAAACATATGTTCACTTAGTCTCATATGACTCTAATGTAAACTCTTTTTTTGTAGGTTCATTGTGCCAATTTCCTGTGTGATCTGCAATGACATTATGGCCTACATGTTTGGCTTCTTCTTCGGCCGCACCCCTCTCATCAAGGTTGGTTGTCTCGCCGTTATTCTTAGCTTTATAAACTATTAATACAAGCACCATTTGTCCAGACTATTTGGTCATCAAGCTCACTCATATACTTCTAGCAAATCACTACCCAATATGTGAAGATTATTCTCCTCTGCAGTTTTGGATGTCATGTCGGGGCAAGTCAGGACTGTGTAGCAATCATTGTTAGGGCCTAAGCGGTCTGGGTGACCCATGTTTTGGACACATTATATTATTGTGTGGTACATGGTAATATATTAATCTGGTATCCACACGCCTGACCGTGTCCTCTGCAGCTGTCACCTAAGAAGACATGGGAGGGATTCATCGGTGGATTGTTCTCCACCATCGTGTTTGGCATCATGGTAAGATGGGGATTTATTTCTTGTGCCTTTTTTAGATGGATAATCTTTTCTCTGACATAATTTGACTAGGAAGGTACTGGGCTCTTTTAAAAATAAGAGCCACAGGCCAGTGATGTGACTGCAGAGTAACTGAAGCTTGCTCCTCTCCCAGCTCTCCTACGTGATGGCCGGCTGGCGCTACTTTGTGTGTCCAGTGGAATTCAACAACGACTCCAACAGTTTCCAGGTGGACTGTGAGCCATCAGATCTTTTCCAGCTCCAGGACTACGCCTTGCCCAGCATCCTGGAGTCTGTCACTGGATGGGTAAGACTCACCAGCGCGCTCCCTCTCTCTCTCACTCTCTCTCACACAAACATTATCAATGGAAATCAAATTTATCAACCCATGGAGGTCTGGATTTGGAGTCACACTCAAAATCAAAGTGGAAAACCACACTACAGGCCGATCCAACTTTGATGTAATGTCCTTAAAACAAGTCAAAATGAGGCTCAGTAGTGTGTGTGGCCTCCACGTGCCTCTATGACCTCCCTACAACGCCTGGGCATGCATGCTCCTGATGAGGTGGCAAATGGTCTCCTGAGGGATCTCCCTCCCAGACCTGGACTAAAGCATCCGCCAACTCCTGGACAGTCTGTGGTGCGACATGGCGTTGGTGGATGGAGCGAGACATGATGTCCCAGATGTGCTCAATTGGATTCAGGTCTGGGGAACGGGCGGGCCAGTCCATAGCATCAATGCCTTCCTCTTGCAGGAACTGCTGACACACTCCAGCCACATGCGCACCAGCATATGGTCTCACAAGGGGTCTGAGGATCTCATCTCAGTACCTAATGGCGGTCAGGCTACCTCTGGCGAGCACAGGGAGGGCTGTGCGGCCCCCCAAAGAAACGCCACCCCACACCATTACTGACCCACCGCCAAACCGGTCATGCTGGAGGATGTTGCAGGCAGCAGAACGTTCTCCACGGCGTCTCCAGACTCTGTCACGTCTCTCACATGTGCTCAGTGTGAACCTGCTTTCATCTGTGAAGAGCACAGGGCGCCAGTGCCGAATTTGCCAATCTTGGTGTTCTCTGGCAAATGCCAAACGTCCTGCAAGGTGTTGGGCAGTAAGCACAACCCCCACCTGTGGACGTCGGGCCCTCATACCACCCTCATGGAGTCATAACATTTGTGGCCTGCTGGAGGTCATTTTGCAGGGCTCTGCCAGTGCTCCTCCTGCTCCTCCTGCTCCTCCTTGCACAAAGGCGGAGGTAGCGGTCCTGCTGCTGGGTTGTTGCCCTCCTACGGCCTCCTCCACGTCTCCTGATGTACTGGCCTATCTCCTGGTAGCGCCTCCGTGCTCTGGACACTACGCTGACTTGTCAATCAGTGTTGCTTCCTAAGTGGACGTTGCGAGGCTACCCAGCCGACCAATCACAGAGCTTACGGTCCGCGTTGACTCGACGTGTAGTTACGTTTTGGAGGAGGTGCACTTCAGGTGACGGCGTAGCCTCTGCGTAGCCCTGTAGCCTACGCCGTCGACTTGACGCAGAAGTATAAATCAGCCTAAAGTGTTCCCTTTTATTTTTTTGAGCAGTGTACATAAGAACAGTCAACCCCATACATTTCATTGAACAAGTAATTAAAGCATAAAGTTATCAAAGTGTATGCGTTTGTGTTAAAAAAAAAAAAGAAAAGAAAAAATAAAATAAATGAATACAACAGTAAGCCTGTGTGTGTGTGTGTGTGTGTGTGTGTGTGTGTGTATTTAAAAATAAAAATTATTAAAAATATTTAAATAATAAATTACACAGTAACGTGTGTGTGTGTGTATATTTATTAATAGACAAAATTTTTTAAACTAATTAATTGATTAAAAAATAATAAATTTTCAAAAAAGAAATCAGTATCAAATGTAAAAACAAAACAATTACTAAAGTCACTCTCTCACTCTCTCACTCATATATATATATATATAATCTGTTTGGCTTTACTGTGTCTTTTTGCATTACTCTACTAAATAACGACATTTCAAAAGACAGTACGATTGTCAGTATGCCAAAATGTGAGAGGGATCGAAGATATTCATGGTGTAGTGTATTTGCGCAGAATCCTTCAATACCTAACTGATATAATTCTATAAGTTCTAATAAAATATTAAAAGAAAATATAATGTAATATGTCTTGTATTATTGTATATAATTATTTTTGTCTATGCCAGGATCTAGTTGGTAGTTTCAGCTCATGCATGAACAGTTGAACATGTTAAGATATGCAAAAGAAAAAATTGTTTGTTCCACGTTCAGACGCTGATTGAATGTTGATAACAGCTGGTCTCTGTTTTTTGTCTAACACTTGCTCTTTGTCTCCACAGACCACAGTGCGTCTCTATCCGTTCCAGATCCATAGCATTGCTCTCTCCTCCTTTGCCTCCATTGTGGGACCTTTCGGTGGCTTCTTTGCCAGCGGCTTCAAGAGAGCCTTCAAGATCAAGGTAGGGATGAAGGACACCTGTACTTTCACCGTGTGTCTGCTTGTCTCTGTTAAGTCCAACTGTTGATAGTATTAGATTTGTACGGAGTATACAGTGTATTGTCCTTAATTACTTATAAAATATTCTATTCTAAGATTATATATTACATCTGTTTGTTGTGAGTCGTTTTTGCTCTCTCTGTTTTTGGAGGACCAGTGCAAGCACATGTACTTTCCTTTGTCCTTTCAGGATTTTGCCAACACTATCCCGGGTCATGGTGGCATTATGGACAGATTTGACTGCCAGTACCTCATGGCCACATTTGTTAATGTGTACATTGCTAGCTTCATCAGGTAAGAATACAAAGGGTCCTTGATTTCAGACAGGTAGACACGAATAGGTTCTCATTCCTCGCCGGCTAACATTGTTTTTGCCAGTTGAAATGACAACTGTCTGTGGCACATTTTATCAGCTGTAGCTAGATCCCAGTAGAAGGGTGTTAAATGTGAATTTGATGGCTACATACATGATGTGCTAAACCAATGCTATTAGGTAAAGCTTAAAGGTCCCAGATATTGCATGGTAGCTAGTTAGCCTTAGCATACAGTACTTCATGATTGGGTAATAAAACAATAATGATAATTATCGCAATATAATTTTCCTCAATAACAATATAATAAATGTTCAATATATCGTCAATAAATGTTTGGTTTAATTCATTTGAATCACGAAAACATTGGCACTGAATTTTTCTATTAAAATATTTATTTTGTTGTGGAAAAGGGACTGAAAGATTTATTAGTCATATTTGTTGAAAAAGATTTTATCATAATTGTTCTGAATGTTCTACCTCAGATTTGTTAAGTGATCCACTGTTTGGCATCGAGTGTTTGTCACATTCTGACAATAAAGAAGTTTAATCGCATAATTAACCATCTGGTTTCTTAAACTTGAAAGGAATAATAATTTGACCTAGGGCTGAAACAATATGGCAAAAAATGTTATCACGATTAAAACGTTTCATATCTTTCGATATCGATAATTATCACAATAAGAATCAAATCGTTATTTCTTCCGTGTTTAAAGGCTGATTTTTGCTCCTGAGTGAAAGTTGAAGAAACCTGATGTTTAGTGGTTTAAACTCTCCTTTATGTTCAACACTTGAGGCCAAACAGTGGATCACTTCACAAATCTGAGGTAGAACATTCAGAACAATTATGATAAAACCAATAAAATCACTCGCGATATCGATTGATATGAAATGTTTTTATCGTGATAAAATTTTTGGCCATATCGCCCAGCCATAATTCATGATAAGGAAAAATGTACAGTTAGATTGTTAATTTGTTTCTACATAACCCTTTTTGAATGCTCGCTAGTGAATAACGTTCTTGGACAAGTAACTGCATGGTCTGTTTTATGCGTTATTTCTGTTTCCAAACAGCATGTTTCATTTATACAAGAGAAGTGGCTTTGAGAACGAGGACTAGCTAAAAAAGTGACACTATCTTGGATAGCATGTTTGGCTGCAGTTGCTGGAGTGTAAACTTCCCCTAACTCCAGTAATTACCATGAGCAGTACATAGCCACTAACCTAGCCTAAACTCTGTCATAGTAGCAAAAAGTACACTTTTTAATCCATCCCCTACAAGTAGTTACTCTTGCTAAGGTATTTGACCTTCACTGTTTGGACAAGGGATTTAGTAAAGACCATTCTGCTGATATATATGTTTGATTATCTCCTCCCTCCTCTCAGGGGCCCCAACCCCAGCAAGGTGATCCAGCAGCTCCTGGCCCTCCGTGTCGATCAGCAGCTCCACATCTTCAATTCCCTGAAGGCTCACCTGACAGAGAAGGGCCTGCTGCCAGCGCTGGAGGAGGCCGCCGCCTAGAGCCACCCGCACCGGCTCGCCCTGAGAGGGAGACCAGAGAGGAGGGCAGCACCCGAGGGCCCCGCGTAGCCCCAAAGCTCTGGGAGACTCGTGGTGCTTTGTGTGAGCGAGAAAAACAAAATGAACAACAACAACAACAAAAAACTACAGCCATGGGTCATTCCATTTCTTCTGGGTGTGAGGGTGGAGCACGTTTGTGTCCATAATCATGTGAATCATGTTTCTGACACCAGTGTTTTCAGGTTGTGTTAGTAAATTACTGTACTGTCACACATTTCCATTATAGCCAACATGTATCTATTCACACTGTTTGACAAAATGTTGGTCAGCTGTACATTTCTACCCGTTTACAGGATATCCTCTATATACCTATTAATGTGTTATATTTTATTGAAATGTTTGTTTTGTTTTAATGCACTGCTCTCAGCCCTGTTATCACTGTATTGTAATCCAGCTGCACCCCCTCGCCAAATTTAAGTTTTAATTTTCTTTGTTGTGATTGTTTCTATTTATACATAGATGGTTTTTATATTTGGTATGTTCTACTATATCTTAATGTTGTGTCTGTTTTTTTTTAAATTCAGACTGAATTCACCTTGCCATCTGCCATGTGCATTTATGTGTGTGTGTGTGTGTGTGTGTGTGTCTTTTTCCCATGTTTTCACTGCCAGTGATCATTTCAAAGCCTCTCTTGATCAGCCAAATCACTGAAAGCATGTCCTAAGATGAGTGGTTAACTTTCCCTGAAGTGTTTTATGGGATCAGTGCATTTTCCAAATCAGAATCCAGTCTGAAAGTTGGTAATTCCCAAATTGTCTGCTGGGTATGTGCCGTAAGAGCAGTTAGCAATGCTCCATACAATTTTTTTAAAAAAAAAATTAGGAATCAAAAGATATCTCTGGAGGCCAGGGCGACAGATACCAGCACCTTTAATTGACCAATTCTGTGTTAATATTTTTTTTTATCTCTAACAAGGAGCTGTTTGTTTTGTGTTTTACACATGTTCAGTATGGTGGTGGGATTGTTGCAGTTTGGCTTCTGTTTGTGACATTGTTGGTTTGGGACAGTACAAGTGAGGCACAAATGTGGTTCTTACACTGCCAGTACCTGCTTCTGTGTGTTGGACTTTGCCGTGGTCACAGCTTTGGGGCAGAAACCGACAATATGACTATTACTGGTTAACTTTACGTGTCTGTGTATGTGTGTCAGTGTGTGTCAGTGTGTGTCAGTGTGAGTCAGTGTGAGTCAGATCGTCAGATCTCGTGCATCTGATGGTCAGGTTGGAGTTTACCAACAGAGTCTGTTACTGAATACACAGCAGTCAGTGTTCAAGAGGTTTTACAGTAGGATTCTGGGAGTTTTATGCAGCTGACAAATGTTTGTTTCATTTGGTGGTAAAATATAAAAGCTCAAGAGTCTCCAGTGTTGAGTTCATTTCTGTTTTGTTTTTTTTAAGCGTAAATGAATTAACTGAAGCTTTGTTCAGTCTGAGACAATAGAATCCTTGATTATGTCATAGTGATGTTATCAGAGTTATTTTGGATTGATCTTGGAGGCTTTAAATTGTAACAGAAAGCCTGTGTTACAAATTATGTAACGTGATTGTGTTGCATTATGGGAAATGTAGGGTAAGGCACTAGAAGGCAGGATATCTCTGACTCTGATGCATCTGTTTTGATCATTCTTTTAGTCTGTCTCCCAAATTGAGTCCCCCAAATTGATGGAGTACTATAAACTTTAAAACGACTAACACAGTCTGCTTTGTTTATTTTAAATAAGGAAGTTTGATTGGAAGTTTATTTTCCCCCATACTTTTTTGAAAATATTTTGATATTACATCTGATCCATTGCCTCCATTTAAACTCATACTGACTGATGACTAACACTGACTAATGGTATATTCAGTGTATGTAGGTCCAACTCTGGTTAGACAAAGGTTAGGCTGGAATCAGCCTATCATACTCATTAATCAACCAGGCACCCCAGTCTGTCCATTATGATCACATTCATCATTTTGTTTCTATCCAATCAGAGAATAGAATTGATTCTTGTCAGTGAAAGCCAAATGAACTCTGGACGTTGAGTGTAGGTGTTAATGTAACCCAGGCACAACTATTTCTGTACCCGGTGTTATTTGACAAATCAGCAATATGAACATTCATACAGTAGTCAGTGTAGCAGGGGTGTGGAGCTCAGAGTCTAGGTGTCTATATATGGTAATCTCATTATTCATCCCTTAAATGTCCTCTCCTCGGGGTCTCTCCTCAAAAATCTAAATATATTTTTGAGCAAATTGTTTTTTTTTGTAACCCAAAATTAGGTTTTGCTTCATTATGGTAATCAGTTTGTAAGAGATGACTTCAGTATTTTTTTCAGATGGAAGGAACCGCTGTGTAAACCAAGTATGGCTTTAGGTGTTTTGCTCCATATTTGAATGTCACCCCATTCAGTTTGATTTGTCATTTCATCTGTTTTATTTACTGTGAGCAAATCAAACCTTTTCAAAGTTACTATATTGTACATTTAAAAAGATGTTGAGTGTTCTTTAGTATTTTTGGTTAGAGGAATATTTAAGGCATTAATGCCATATAGGAGAGATTATTGAGATAGCAGGAAAGTATTTTTTCTCTGTCTGTTCTTGCTGTGGCTTTAGTGCAGTTGGGTGTTTTCTAGGCTCTTTCCCTGGTAGCTTTTGTGTGTCAACTTCTGTGTTGCAGTGCAAGTTGAATCAACGTAGATACTCGTAGCACTGTGTTACGTTGTCTCCCTTTGAGTAGACGGGAAGTTTCCGGGAAAGTAACGTGGTGACTGGTGAATCAGCATTCGTAGATATCTTGTCTTTCCTGAGCTTTATCGCCCCTGTGGTGGTTTAATGTTGGAGTTTTAGCCCTGCAGCTCTGTACTGCCATTTCTCTGTCGAGTGTTACAGACAGCCACTAGAGAGAGCTGGAGCTCCTGTGGTCTGTGGCGTGATGCTGCATCTGAGCAGAAAGGTTTGACCCTTTTGTCACTGCAGTTTGATACATTCCACTTCCCCCACAGTTAAGCCCACATGGAGGCTATTAGGGGTAAATCATACTACTACTGATTATTATTTTTGTTAGTTTGTTTCATGGCACCCCAGGAAACACCTTGGTGCCATTTTTTAATCAACACAGTGCCACTTTGCTTTTGTGAATCCTACCCAGGACCCTCTAAAAGGAATGTAGGGAGTTGTGACTGCCCCCACATACTGTAGGCTCCCCTTTGTGGACATTTCATTTATTAAGTGGATTTTCTTATAAATCTGTATGATTTCATTATGTTATTCTTAAACTGTGCAATGGTTTGTGTTGAGATGTACACTTGTCTAGAGAAAAGTTGTACTCTTTGATGCTGAAAATGTGCTTTGCCTTGGTTTAAAAAAAAAAATTAAAGGTATAAAAAAAAAACTGTGGCGTGCTCTGTGTGTGACCTTGTTTCTTCCCTTTTGGTCTTCTTCCCCATTTCGAAATAGATGTTCAGTTCATTTAACAACCAATTGTATTATTTAGCTTTGACTTTAAGATACAGCTTTGTTAACACTTAACTCTGCTGCAGCCTGAGCTGTGAACCGACTCACTGAAGGCGTCCAACCCAGAGGTGAAAACTATTTCCCTTCTGAAGACATGCATGTGGTTTTTTTATGACACTAGTGAACATTAGTCATTTGAAAACTCCCCACTATATGAAGCCCAACCAGAAACCTCTGTTGTATGAGAACAAGTATGGACATGGAAGTAAAGGCAACATGAGGAGACGCGTTTTGAAGGGCTGAAAAAGAAAAAGAAAAAAAAAAAAACAAGAAGAAGAAAGATTAACACAGGAAGTAGGAAGTGTGATCTGCGATATCTCCAGTTTGTGTGTATTTTGAGTGTGTATCAATGTGTGTGTGTGTTATGTATGTGTGTGTATGTGCTCCAGTGGGGTGTTCGTGTGAAATGAAACACTGACCTGTGCTATGAGTTAAGGACAATGTCTTTAAAACTACCTCGTAACTGGGACTTCAGCACCTTCAAGGCTGAGACAGCTCGCATAGGTAAGCCGGTGGCCGTGCTGCCTTCACTGTCAGCAGTGTGGGTGCAGTGCTTACCTCACATTTAAGGCACTTTATACTTTTGACATTTAGCTGATATCGTCCTCAAAAGGCATGCAAACTGATGTATAGTCAAATAAGATACAATGTTTCATTTTTCATGAAACCAATGATAGTAGAGTAAAAATGTATATCCACATAGCAGACACTTTTTAAAAATGGTGTTACTCATCTTCAAGAAAATACTTTTTTTTTTGCGAATCAATTAATGGTATATACAGTGTAATTAAGGTAGCATCATTTAGGTAAAATTAAAGTTTTATCATAGAAGATTTTTATCTGATAATAATTGGTGACTGATTCTGTGCCTTGTTTTCTAAGTGTGGGTTTTTGAGCTTATTGGTTGGTGGCTGTTTGTTACGCGGTGAAAGTAACCAGAGTTGTTTTGGACCATTTTTTTCTTTACACAAATCACTGCCGTCTAATTTAGAATGACTATATTTATATATTATATTGAAACATAGCGCCTTTCTTCAGTCACTCAGAAGTAAGTCCTGGCGGTTGCAATAAGACGTTGACCAACCTTTGTGTGTGCATGCAAAACTATGCGCAGTCATGCATTTACAGTTCATGTTAAGCAGTCTAGACTTACTAATACCGTGCATACCGCTGTTTGCATAGGGTGGAATTAGTGCAATAACATGCCTTGTTTCCTCTCAGGATGCCGCAACAGTTACAACATTCAGATAATAGAGGTTTTTCAATTTAATTTAATTTATATAGCGCCGAATCATAACAGAAGTGATTTCAGGGCACTTTTCACAAACAGCAGGTCTAGGCCGTACTCTTTATAATATTAGTTATATTACACAGGGAGTGAAGCTCTATACACTACAGTCCTGCTATTGTTCACAATGTGCATCATTTTCGCTCTGATCGTTTTTGCAATCAATGGGGTTGCTCAGCACTGTGGAAGGAAGTTGCTGCCTGTAGCACATTTATATAATCTGCTTCATGTTGACTCCATATCAGCTGCTATTATTATCATGCTCTTGTCTTAGCATGAAAGCATAACTGAAAGCTGATGGCCGCCTCATGATTCGTTTAACATGAGATGTTTTGTGGACCATGACAGATTTTATGTCCTGGCACCCGAGTGACACAGGCTTTCAGCAGGAAACTGATGCAAGTGCACAGTTCCTGCACGTCTCTGACTTTGTGGCTGTCTGTGTGTAACTGTGCCTACGTACATGTGAGTGTGCGATACTGCATCTGTCCTTTCATAAAGATCTCAAAGGACACCCACAAACCTGTCAGCGTGCAGGAGTGAATGTTGATTTACAGATTACAAACTAACTGACACTGACTCTTCCTAATGCAGTAAAATCCATTCATCCACTGTTTCATGCATGGTTAAAGGAATAGTTTTGGGAAATATGCTTATTTGCTTGCTTGTCGAGAGTTAGAATAGAAAATCAATATCACTCACATGTCTGTACATTAAAAATGAAGCTACATCCAGCGGCCGGTCATATAAGCTTACCATGAAGACTGGAAACAGGGAGGGAAACAGATAGCCATGGCTCTGTCCAAAGATGTCAAAGTCTGCCTACTAGCATCTCTAAAGCTCACTAATTAACATGTACATCTTGTTTGTTTAAGTGTAAACATGATAAGCTATGGGTTATTTGATCTATTATTACATATATATATATCTATATCTATATATAGATATAGATATAGATATAGATATTGATACAGCCAGCAGCCAGTTAGCTTAGCATAGCATGAAGCTTCGAAAGAGGGAAATAGCTCCAGTAAAAAAACTTTTAGATATGGTCCAGATAAAGGCCTGTAAAACATCCACTTTTACAATTTGGTTTTTGTAAGGATTAAACAAGAAAATGTTTTATTAGTAAGGTGGTGGATTTTTGTGTCCATTAGCCAGAGCCAGGCTAGCTATTTGCTTCTGCTTCCAGTCTTAATTCTGTCATGCTTGAATGCTGCCAGACCATAATCCGTGAGGAAGTGCATACAAATCTTGATCCTATCATCAATGAATTATCATGCTTAATAATGGAAATTCAGGCTTTAAAATGTCTTCAGGTGAACATTTAACCATGAAATCTGATGAAATTACAAATGTCTTTAGGTGTAGTGATATATGTAAAAAGCCTCCACACAGTCAGTGGGAAACTCTGAATATCATTCTCCTCTGTCTCTGTCTTGACATAAATTCCTTTTGATGGTGGGAACTGAGACACATCTTTGAGGTGCAGTGGGACTGTAGACTCATCACAGATTTAGGCCAGTTTAAAGGAGCTGTGTGTGTTTTTGTCCAAAACGCATTGTGTGTTGTGACATTGCCTCTGTGTGTGGGCTGAGTGTTCCTCAACAGCACTTAAACTTTCCACTAATCAAGGGAGGGTGATGCTGTTAAAATTAGACCAAAGACTTAAACTTCTAGGTGGAGACCTTCAAAGTGTCGCTGGCCCTCCGGCAATGATGTGGCTGCTTCCTGTTTACTCCAGTGTGACCCTTCTTCTTCTCTTCTCCTCTGTCATCTTGCTTGACAAGACACGGTGAATTTAAGAACAACTGAGCAAGTGGGCACAATCTCAATCCAGTTATCGCTGCAGTCCTACCACCCTGCGTGTTATTCAGACCGTCTCCATCTGACTCCTCTCCTCTGGGCCACGTAGACCTCTGCCTCTGTTCTTTCATCACTCCATTGAACCATCATATCATGGCCTCTCGCAGGCACAGAATTGAAGGGTATCAGTCAAGGGTGACATTCTTAAAAAGCCTCAAAATAGGATGACATTTATGTGTCAGTTTCAGTTCATCTTAGGTCCACACAGAACTTAATCTATGACCTTTCTAGCTTACTGTTTGCTGATCAGTCTCTTGCAGACCACTATGTTATTTATGTAGAACAATCACAGATGCTTTCACCTTGCACCTTCCACAGGAAACTGTTCACCTCAGACCTGCAATTTCCTATATAGAGGGGAACAAAAATTGGCTTCAGAGAGCAAGCCCTGTGATAGGCTGATGCGCATTCATATCAAAAAGAGGAAGTGCTGTGCTGCAGCTGACAATAGCACTGATGTTTTGGTAATGTTCCGCAGCTCCGGCTGTGACACAACACATTGTTACTTTAACCAACAGCTTTCTTGTGGTGTTTGGCAGCGCGATCCAAGAGTGTTATACCTGGAGAGGGAGGCCCCTGCCAGGGCTCCCCCCGTTCCCCCAGGTCCATGGAGAGGCCACTGAAGGCCGGCTGGCTCAAGAAACAGCAGAGGTCTTTAGTCAAGAACTGGCAGCAGCGTTACTTTGTGCTGAGAGGAAGCACGCTGACCTACCACAAAGATGACAAGGAGACCACTGTCCAGGTGAGACACTGGGAAATTAGTTAATTTTAGCCCTTACAAAGTTTTTTTTTTATCATTTGCATTGGCATAAAACACATTTGCACATTATTTCCAAAGCAATTCATACAAATATCACATATTCCAAAATTAAAAGCCTACAATAACGTTTTGAATTTGACACATGTCACCCATCAAATGGGTCAAAATAATTTCTAGGTCTCTGTTACACGTCAATATTCTACTTCTTTAACGTTGAGTGATGAAATAAAGGCGAACCAGCGTTATCTCACTACAACATTTAGTAATCTAAATTTTGTACTTTTACATTAAATGTCTTGTACATTTATAGATTAATTCATGGGTTAATAAGACATGTGTCCTTTATCATTTCCAATCAACACCACAAACACTCTAGCTGTGTGGCTAACTTTGCACACTTCCTGTAAACAAAACTAATGGTGCTTGAAGTCTCACAAGAGAGGCCTATTGCCATTGAAAGTCCTTTTTTGTTACACGTTTATGTCCAATCCACTGGTTCATGCTCATGTTTTAACAAGGAAAGGCCAAGACCTTATTATGCTATAGATCTGTCTATGTGGGACAAATACAAGATGTTCATCCTCTCCTTCCATGTGTGGCAAAAAATGCTGTTACACTCTTATGGTGTCATTCCTAGCTAGCATTTTGGGGGTGGATATGCATGTGGTGAAGCAAAATCCCTTACTGTGCTATAACTATCCATGCAGAGATCATGGTCAGATATATAGACCATATTAATAAATAAGCCCCAAAAGCCATTTCCACTTTTGCTGATGGAAGGTGTGGGACTGTGGGTGGAGAAAAAGGAAGTGGGCTACGCACAGGTTGAAGTGAGTTATAAACTGTACTGTACATGCTATAATTTAAGCTCATAGAACATGTATAGACCCAAAATCAAATGATAATGCATCAGCAGTGATCATCTTCTTGCACTTTTCAATATGATTTACATTTGCAAAAAAGCCACAGTGATACATTTTTGCCACAATAAAAGGACCTCACACCTGCAGTGAAAATACCTGCTGAAGCCTTTTCTACATTAACGAGACACAGACTGCATGGACTCTCTGGTAACCCGGAAAGTGAACAGTTAATGTTAATGGTAGCATAATGGTGGTGTATGAATGGATGTAGCGAATAAAACATTAGTGGTTGGTTCTTGACATGACAGACACCTGGTTTGGGGTTTTCTTATTACACTAATGTGCTTTCTTTCTGTGTGTTGTGCTCCTGCTTTTTGGTCTCCAGGGAGTCATCCAGCTGCGGTTCAGTAAAGTTAATGAACTCCCTCTGAGCTCAGATGACCCTGGGAAATACCTCTTCGAGATTATACCACGTAAGCATTCAATTGACCCTTTAAAGGGAGCAAAACTGACTTTGGTTTTGTGTGAAGGCAGTGATACATCTCTCCATTGCCTTGAGTCATCTTTCTGCATCGTAAGTTACAGACAGATTTAAGTAACATTTCTTGTATGCCAGTGTTTTGTAGGGGACAACACTTACCTGCACAGTAGCAAGCCAGAAACGACCACAAACTGATAGCAGTCACAATCTACTCTGGAAATCTTTATGTACATTTGATATTTTCAGGTTTCACTGTACTAAGATGCATTTGCAAAACCCACAATTCTGCAGGTACAAGTGGAGACAGAGAGCGATGTCCTTATGTGTTCATGGCAAACTCCCAGAGTGACATGGAGGAGTGGGTCCGCGCTCTGCGCAAGGTCATTGGAGTACCAACAAGCGGAGGTTCAGTAAATCCTTATCTTGTTATAGAAAATTAGGTTATTAATGACACTACAACTATCCTATGTGACTAGACTTTTCAAGAAATGAAAAGGATATTTATTTGGACATCACTTTCTTGCAGAGTTAGGTGACAAAATTGATACCACTTGCATGTCTGTAAGCTAAATATATAGCTGGAGCCATCATCATTAGCTTAGCTTAGTATAGAGACTGGAAACAGAGGCAAACAACTAGCTTGGCTATGTACAAAAAAAGAAAAGAAGCTTGGCTCAAGATAAAAAGAAGGAAGTCAGAAAGTCACTGCTTGCTGCCAACAAGTAGTCCCCACATGACAATGTCGAAGTATTCTAGCATAACGTAAAATAAAAAAAACTTCACTCTGACAAATCGTGTTTAAACCACAGGCACCATCCTATAATTGCTACAAAGACCATGTGAAAAGGATAATAATGGAGTTCATTTAAATGTCTATAACCGTTTCCTGATAATACTCTATGGACATTACCAATATGTCATGTCTTATCTCTATGCCTCTCTGCAGTGTTTGGAAAGGGTCTCATGGACACAGTAACGTATGAGCAACGGTTTGGGCCCCACATGGTGCCAATCCTGGTGCAGAAGTGTGTGGAGTTCATCAAAGAACATGGCCTGAATGAGGAGGGCATCTTCCGCCTCCCGGGTCAGGACAATGCTGTCAAACAGTTCAGAGATGCCTTTGATGCAGGAGAGAGGCCCTCCTTCCCCAGGTAACACTCCCATGGTTCCCTCTGTACAGACTAAAGCCATATAAACTATTAGATAAACAGAAGTCATGATTTTAATAATGTTTACCTCATTATTACACCGGTTGTTTATTGGAAGCACTTAACCTGAACCTGATCAATATTTGAGTAGTAGTAGTGGTATAGTGCATATGTATGCAGCATTATACTACATATGAAATAGGGTTATCCACACATCTCAAAAACTGTTCAAATTAAATAATCTTTAGCCCTCTTTAAACCTGGTTGGTAAATGCTTAAGAAAGTCACTACTATATAAGGAGAAAAAATATCCTAACCTTAGTCAATCACAAGCATCAGCTTTTTTTCTGAGAAAGCAAGGAGAGATGAGAGAGATGCACAGCGGCTGATTTTATCTGCTCAGAGTTGAAGGTGATACCACATCCTGTTCTGGCAGGCACACAGGAGGAAGCCTGTATTACTCAACATCACTAGCTTCTCTGACAGAGCACTGTTTTTAATTAAAACATCAATTTAACCTAACCTTGTTTGTCTATAATCCAGTGTGAGCCAGGTCAAATGGCCAGAGCCAGGTCAAAGGACAGCCAGCAAGGCATACTGAATGATTCTTTAGGTCAACTTTCAGGCCAAAATTACGATTTCCCCTGAGTCCATACAACAAAACAGAACCCAAGACTGCTGCACCAGTTAAATATACACGTCCAAAAACAGCAAGAATCTTGAGGAACTTGTTTATACAACATCCCAGAATGCAAATTCTTTTTATGATTCCAGTAAAATATTTACACAGCTCTTGTCAAGAACAAAAAAAAGATAAAGCTCTAAACTCACGGACACTTTTGGAGTAGACACATTTGCACAAAATGCAAGACATTACATTTAAGCCAGGTGCAGGGCTTCCATATACAGCAGGTAATCAAGCAAACTGCATGTCTATGAAGTAGTGGGTTCCAGTTTTTATAAAATACATGCAAGACTCGTAGAATCAGTGCTAGCTCCATGTACAAGGCCAAATTACACACTGGTCTAATATTGCATTCTGTGATTAAGGTTTAAATGTCAGTTATACTTTAAGTGGACGTTCATTGGATGTGTGTCATTACCTGCAGTGACACAGATGTCCACACAGTGGCGTCACTGCTCAAGTTGTACCTGCGAGAGCTACCTGAGCCTGTGGTGCCCTGGACTCAGTACCAAGACTTCCTTGACTGCACCAACTTGCTGGACTTCAGCAACACGGAGGTACGCTTTATTTAAAAAAAAGAGGCTACAATAAGTCAGTATACATCTGAGTGAATGCAAACACTCGTGCTGTGCGTGCATATGTGTGCATATGTTTGTACATGAAGGAGAGGTGAGTGTGTGGGTCCTTTAACCCTCTCATGTCTGCTCTCAGGGCTGGGAAAAGTTGGAGAAACAAATCGCTCTTCTCCCCAGAATGAACTACAACCTCCTCAGTTATGTCTGCCGGTGAGTAGAAGCTGGAGCACAAAGAGTTATGGGACATTCCAGAGAAAAAACATTATGCCTTTGAGGTTAGGGGCGAGGTCCTTCTGGTTAAAAACATCAGCTAAATGCCATTCTGTGGTCAGTTCCCATTCCTGTAAATTATGCTGATCATGTCTTTTTGTTTCGCAGGTTTTTGTTTGAGGTGCAGCTGCACTCCAAGGTGAATAAGATGAATGTGGAGAACTTGGCTACAGTGATGGGGATCAACCTGCTCAAACCTCAGATAGAAGACCCCATCACTGTGATGAAGGGTAAGAACGGGTCACTGATGTGTCCTGAACATGTGTTATCTTACTTTACCATGAAATGATGTGGTTGTGAAAACTGTCGCTCACCATCTAGAAAACACACTGAATTCAACTGATGTGTAACATTATTAAGCAATGAAATGTGGCAATACTGCAACATGACTACATCCTTCTCTTTTTTAGACACTATATTTAGTGGGGGAAAACTCCCAGCCTTTTATATAAAAAAATACCTCACAAGTTATCAAGGCATGTCTCATTTAGAAACCCATGATATGTGGAACTGATGATGTAACACAAATCGTGTGCTACTTCATCAGTTCCATAAACTTTAACTATGATCTCAGTAATGCTGCTGGCACTCTTTTTATTTAGTATTTATATTGTAACTGAACTGTAAAAAAAAGTAAAATTTCAGAAGACTGAAAAAAGAGAAGAAAGAATTTGCATAAGAACCTAAAGATAAGACATTGTGATCATAATCTTTTCACATTTGTATTTGTTTTTTTTTGCAGCGACTCCTCAGATCCAGAAGCTGATGACAGTGATGATCAGACAGCATGAGGCTCTGTTTCCTCTCTCCAAAGATGTGCTTCCCTCCCCTCCTTCAAGCAAGGCTGAAAGCCAAAAGAACACTCCACGAAGCTTTGTGGGCTGGGAGTCTGCAGAGGTACGAGCAGCTGACCACACATTGAGCTTCTGTTTTTAAAATCTGATTTTTAGGACATGTTCTGGTGTTACATGACGTATCCTGAAAACAGGGCAAAGCAATCCATAGAACACATACCAGCATATCCAATACAACTTGTGCTGGTAGGAAGAAGTTGCCATGTATCCATCGTGAAAGTTGGCTAGATGTGGCAAACAGTGCTAATTCCATCAGCTGTGACAGTTTGTTGACAAAATCTGGATAAAACAGCCACACATTCAGAAACAAGTTTTCACAAGCGTCAAGAGTTGTTTACAGTGGCAGGTGGCAAACATGAAATATTATTGACTTCCTTGCCGGCCAATACCAAACTCATGTCTGTCCATTTATACGTAGCTGGTGACAGCACCCGGCTAGATTAGCATAAAGGTGAGAAAAGGGATGAAACAACTAGCCTGGCTCTGTCCAAAGGTAAGAAAATCCACCTACTGCCACCTCTAAAGCTCACTTTTTAATTATAGCCAATCTTGTTTTGTGGGCCAAGTAGAATATACATGGCAAATTGTAAATTTTTGTAGAGATTAAACATGGGATAGCCTATTGATCAGGTTGATCAACTTTAGAAGTGCTGGTAGGCGATTGTGCTACCATTGGACAGAGGCCGGCAAGCTGTTTCCCCTGTTCCTAGTCTTTAAGCTAAGCTAAGACAACTGTCTGTAGTTTAATATTTTATGGACAGATATGAGAGTGGTTGTGATCTATTAGCAAGAAAGTGAATAAGCTTGTTTCCCAAAACTATTCCTGTGATGCCGTGAAGTCTGGTAAAAAAGAAAATGGTGAAAACACACTTATATGCTAGCTGATCTTCTTCATCTGAATACTAGCAGATATTTAAAATTGAGAAGCTATTTACAAATTTACAGTCTATTGTAGTATTAGTATCTGCTGGCATAGGTACTGATATACCTGGGTAACTGTGTGCTACATAAAATGCTACTATCTAGTGCAGGGGGCTTCTGTGAGCCTCACATCAGTCAAAGCGTGGAAAAAGGCGTTCACTCACCCCCCTTAGTTTACTTGGAAGTCCTGGATGTCTGTGGATGATGAATATTTTATTTGATCCTAGACACTGAGCCAATATAGATTAATATTGTTGTTTGACATGACTTCAGACTACACCAAAAACATAAAAAAGGTCTGTCTGGCATTCATTAAGTTTTGTCTCTGGGAAAGTGGGAAAGACAGCAAACGTCCCCAAAACTGCTGTCTCTGAACTCCCTCTTTGCCCAAATCACACACATTTTGGCTATTCTGTGTCATCTCCTCCATAACTAATGTAATAACTAAGGTCACAGTTTTCACTTCCATTCATTGGAGCTCGCCTGCGATGCCCGTCTCCCACTTTGAAAACTTCTCATCTAGGCCATCATTAAATTCTAACATATGTATGTATGCTTTTGCATTTATTTTGATTCAGTCTCAACATCTCTGAAAAACCCAGCTTTGCTCTTATTGATAGATTAAAAAAATGTGTCTAATGCATTTTCTCTAGCAGTTGCTTACCAACACTTTGTTGGTTATGTGCTCTCAAATGAATGGATAGATAGATTGAGGCTAATAGCTTTATAGCCTTATCAAACCGAAGTGTATATACAAGTATATACTGTATACATCTATATAGTATATACATGTATATACTGTATACATCTATATAGTATATACATGTATATACACTAAACAGTATATCAATTATGTTGTATATGTATCTGTAATTAATCTTCTGTTATGCGTTTGTCTCAGATGGGTGACGCATCTCTATCCGAGTCTCCAGAAGAAGAGGAGGACAATGACAGTCCAGGTCTAGACAGGGGAAACTGCAACTCCCAAAAAACACTTCAGGAGCCTCTCTCATCTACCACAGACGACTGGCTTGGAAGTCCCCGCAAACGCACGCAGACCCTGCCCACATTCAACTGCCCGCTCACCGGGATGGCAGCCAAGGCCGACGCCCTCAACCGGTGGAGTAACATCCAGGAGACCGTGGAGGAGAAGAGCGGGACATTGTCAGAGGACATTTTTAAGATACTGGATCTCCGGAGTTCAGGTTCATTGTTCGGGGGGTCTCCGATGACTAAAAAGGAAGGAGAGGATAGGTTAACAGCCAGAAGAGGAAGTGACAACACAGGTTCTTCTACTACTGGCTCCCAAAAACCTGTCAGTGACTCCGGGCCTGCTCGGATGCTGTCTCATCAACAGAGTGTTGGGACCGTGACAGTGAGCGGTTCAGTTCAGCAGGTCAACAGAGGGTGTGAGAAGAAGCAAGACAGCCAGCAGCTTGTAGACAGGTGAGTTCAGCTGAGGAACCGCATGGAGACACAGTGACCACCTCACAACTAACTCACTACACACCCGTGGTACACAAAAAAAAATTTTCTGGGGGCATTTGGCTCTTTTGATCTTATACTCAAAAGAATGTGTGTTTTGACATCTAATTTTGTTTCATATTCAGCCATTTTTTTTTCTTTCAACATGATAGCAGTGTGAAATAATGAGTTAATAGATTTTTCATAAGTGCAGTATTTCTTGTGTTGGGAATATTGTCAAGAAAATGACACCTATTGCAGAAAACATTTGGAACAAGTTGATTTATATTAAAAACAGCAGTAGTATTCCCACTCCCCTGGGTTGTTTTAAAAAAAAATTTTAGGGCTTATTACTTACATAGTCTTTTTGGACTTGATTCTTTTGTACACTACAGGGCATTGTTTCCATAAAAGTTGCTTTTTGGACTTTTTACTAAATGTCTGAACCCTCTTTTTCTCTCACTTTCTCTTGCAGTCTGCAAAAGGAGAATGAGGAACTGAAGACCACAGTAGCAGAGCTCCAGTCGGCTCTGGAGGAAGATCGACGCCGTGTGGCTGCTCTGGAGATCTGCCTGAGAAATGCAGAACGCAGCCGGGACGAGGCCCAGAGACGCAATGCGGAGCTGCAAAGAGAGATTCAGGAGTTCCTCACCAAAAAGCCACATACTCCTACCTAACAGTCATTTTCAGACTCACTAGTATATGGATTTATGACTCTGAGCTAATTTCCCATGAACTGGTTATGGGAAGTACTATTGTCCTCTAGTGGGACACTGGATTGTGGGATTGGATAAATTATTGGCTCATTTGTTTGTGCCAGTGCCACACAAAATACTATTTGTCATATTTGGAGTAAATATTATTTGATGTTTCATTTAAGTGGTAAATTAATAAAACAGCACAAATGTGAGTGTTTTGTTGATGTATAAAATTATACACCACATATTTACTATACCAACACAACATTGTACCCTAAGTATTTGTACTTTGCTAAGAAGCAGTGATGACTGCCTTTGACATTTCAGAAGAGCAATTATGAAGCTCAGTGCCTTGGCTCCAGCCACTGCCATCTTGGCAGCCAGCTAATCCTGTCGCGGATGTGCAAGCAGGATAACAGGGAACGCAAGAAATTGGACATAAATGCAGACTGGGAGGCAAAGGAAGTGCAGTTGATTTGATTTAATAGCAAGTCAGTGAACAAAAGGTTAACAAGATGGTGAGGCAGGTAGAGGTCAAAACCAGGAAAGGCAGACCAAACAGGCAAATAAATCCAACAGGGAGCAGGCCAAATCCAAACGATAGGCAAAGACCAGGGAAATAAATCCAAAGACACAGAGAACCACAGACAAGGAATGGCAAGAACGCTTGAAACAGGGACGAAGACGAGCTGGCACTGAGGAAGGGGAACACACAGACTAAATACACTAGTGAGGGGAGGAGAGCTAGTCAACAATCACACAGGTGGGAAAACACAAAACAGTAAGTGAAGTTAAACAAAGACATATGAGAAAGGACTTGATCAACACAGGAAATAATTAAACAAACCCTGAAATGATGACAAATCCAAAAATGGGTAAAGAGCTGGAGTGTGGATGGAGCTAGCAGACAGAGGCTAACCACCTATGGCACACGTTATTTTGTTCCCCATTTTTGACAAGTCTCACTTGACGGACACCAGCGTTGCATCAAGTCTTGCCCCCTACTCTGCTTCTGATTGGGTAACCCTAACCCTATCAACTAAAAGCGTATATAGACCTAGTTTTGTAAGGTGGACTGAAAAAACCTTAATGGATTTTAATAGATATTTTGTGGTGAGAATGGTATTATCTGGGAGTTTTCCCATTCTAAAAAACATAACACTGGGAAATGCAGAAGAAAATCATGAAATTTGGACATTGGATATCAGCACAATACATTTCCTTTTGGAAGGTTCAATCCAAAAATAGCAACTTTGGCATTCCTAAATTAAAGAGGTGGTATTCTGCTCATTTTCAGGTTCAAAATCTTAATTAGGGGTTATACCAGAACAGGTTTACATGGTTTAATTTAAAAAAACACCATATTTTTGTCATACTGCACATTGCTGCAGCTCCTCTTTTCACCCTGTGTGTTGTTCGCTCCGCTCTTGAGCTTGAGAGTGATGCATCTTACTTGTACAAAATCTTTGTTGGGAGTTGCACATATAAGGTAAGGACTACTAGCCAATCAGAAGCAGAGAAGGGCGGGTCGTAAGAAACAAGGTAGTGTGATCCAAACAAAGCCGCTTCAGACTGCGACCGTAACCTAGCAGATGGTGTAAGTTACTCACAAGTCCACAACCACACAATATCATTGTTCCACATCTTACCATAAACCACTACAAAAATCATCATATTTCATCTCAATTTTACATAAAAAATGGCCAAACAATTTGAACGTTTAATCAGTAGCTTTCACATCAGGTGTAACATTAGCATTATAGCTATAACTTTAGCCAACGTTTACAACAACTCCGCACTTGAACAGTCTGTGAACTTACATTGCAGTGTTTATTTTAAATATAATTCACAACCAATAAAGCATACTTACAGGTTGTGGTTGTGAATTTCCAGGCCCAAACAGAGTCGGAGTTGCATCGTCTTTTAGGACTAAACGTTGAACTGTTGCCGGTGTTCTGACGTTCTATGCTGCCTTGCCAAAAAATGCTACCATAGCGCAAATCGATAGACTCGACTCTCCGTTTTCCATTGCAGATAGTACCCAGAGACAGTACGTAGCTTGTCGTCATAGCGACGCCACACACGACTGCTGTGACATAATGTTCAATGCGACACACACCAGCGATCCACACGGCTTTCTCTTTTTTAAGTTAAAATGTTTCAACATTCCTCAGAAGACAGATAAGCGGTATGAAAACCTTCCAGCTGTGTTTTCCTCTGCCGTTGTTGCTGCAGCGGTCTGTGTGACGGTGGGAGCAGAGGGCTCTGTGAGCTCCTCAACTCCGAAAATATTCAAGCACATTTTTGTTCCGCCATCACTTCTCGTAAAACTGTCAATATTCAAAATCTACACAGCTGATTTCTCACCTCAAAACTTCTCAGAAGTGGATTTAGTGATGAAATTCCATACGAAAACTGTAAAATATAAAACTTTCTGTTGCTGGCCTCTGTCTGGCGCAGCAATGATGATGCAGTGAATAGTGAATATTCTCTCTGACCAATCAGCAGTCTGTCGTGTTTTCACGTTACATTTTAGTTTCCCTCAGCTCGCTTGGAACCTCGACGGAGGTGAAGTGATACGAAAAAAAGTACCTGGAAGCAGGTACAGGTGCAACATTTCTACAATGGAAACCCAAACAAAGGCAAGTCGAGCCAAAGGGCCTCCGCTCAGACTAGCTTGGTCTGAGGACGTGCCTGACCCCGCTAGCCGCTTGGCAAGCTTTATGACGCCTTTTCATTGTGACGTCACAAGTAAAGGAAGTGAAGGGCTGGACTACTAACGAGTTTTCAAGCAGTTCAGAGCAGAGCTTTCTGTGGGAGATGGGAACTCCCTTTGAGCTGGACTTTGGGCTTTTTACTTTGCAAACCTGTTACATGCACAAAAAAGATTCAAGACTCAATAAAGGAGAGGGAAAAAGCCAAAAAGCATAATACCACCCCTTTAACTGTTACAACTGAGGTCCATAATACAGACCATATGGATGGGGCTGACTGTGTGAATGTGTGTGTGTGCATTATCAAGCCTTCTTACGGCCATCAGGAAGATGTGATAGTCTGTTGCGACAGCAGTTCAACAAAGTGACAGATAACAGCATGTCTGTCATCTGTCAGCCTGGCAGATGAGTGGCAGAGGCAGGAAAAGCTCATTCCTTCCCATCTCTGTGACGCACTGCATTCAGGAGTGTATCTGCAGGTCACCCAAAGAAGCTCAGGAAGTTGTGTAGTGGGATGAGGGTTCAGGTAACAAACCAGTGCCAGCCTGTTTCAACAAGGACTTGTTGCATGGTGGAAGTCTTTCTCCATGAGTCACCCAGCTCCCATACCTACATCACATTTGACTTGGTGTCTCCCTTATCAAGAGGAATGTGTACGTGTACCCCTCATGAAACTTTGAGAATGTGCCTCATCTATTCTTGTGGTGCACGTCCTTGTTCTTGCACTTTTTTCGAAGGAGCCTCTTGTACCCAGATAACCAATTTCAGACACAGTGTCCACTTACCAGAAGAGGAAGTACACAGAACATTTTAGCAAGCACAACAGGGTGGGTGGTGGCGGTGGCGGGGCGTAAGGGTTGGGGGATGATTGTTACATTGTTGAATGAGCACATTACAATAATTATTTTGTACAACTCTGCTGTCTACTTGAAATGTTTTCCAGACGCTCAGTATCTTTCATCCTCGATCATTAAGGCCTCACACCTCATTGCATTTCAATTTCATTTGAACAAGTGTTGTCTAATAGATATATCCTGTTACATTCAACGATATCAACAGACCCTTGGTGTATTTTGTCAAAAAGAAATGGTCAATGGAGCCTAGACAGCAGCTCACAGAACTCCACCATTTACAAAGCAAATAAACAAATGAAGAATATCAACCATGGAGCACCCACCCAAACAAAATAGCGCTTCCACAAGGAAGAGGCTACAGGACAATGTTTACAAAATCCTCATTAAGGAAGTTGTGAGATAACACACGCTCATGTGCATCACACAAAGTTGAAGGCACGCACGCATGCACACACACACACACACACACACACACACACACCAGCAAAGAGACCATAAGCACTGAGCAATGCAGAGCCCACAGTATCATAGATAAGAGTCAGAAAGAAAGAGCTGGGAAGAAGAGCGCAGAGCACAGAGAGAGACTGACAGAGGAGAGGACACAACAGAGATGACTTGGGCGGACAGAGCCAAGCATTGGCCACCCTGTCACCGGAACTGCAGCCCTGTCGCAAAGGACATCAAAAGGTGTGCATGAGAATAAATGCTGTGAGATCTGGAAGAGAGCAGCAGGAATACACACTCCTGCAGAGGCGCTCACACTGGTCAGTGCAAGGGTCAACAACACTACTGCCTACTGCCAGGGAACCAGAACTTTCTTAGACTACAGATGAACTGACCACAATCTAAATTAACCTTTGGATTAAGGCGTTCAGAGATCACAATAATTTTGTTTTGCTGTTGCATCAATCCCGGGGGTGTACAATAGAAAGCTGCGGATTGTTTTTCCCATGGCGAGCATTTGGGTCTCTCAACCGGGAACCATCTGCAGCTCCAAGACTTTGCTCTTGGTGTTTTCCATCCTGCTGCTCCAGGGGCCTCTCCGTGGACAGAGCAGCCGATCTCCAACACCCATCAGAGGCATCGCTCTGCTCCGGGGCTGGGAGATGGTCATGGAGGCGTGGTGGATCCGTCACTGCTGGAGCAGGGCAACAACATGAACATGCAGAGCCTGCTGGAGAGTCTGAAGGAACAGTTTCTGCGGACTTTCAACCTGTCTGGCATGAGTCCTCCTCCCCTGCCTCCTGGAAGCATGCGAGAAGAGCCCCCTGAGTACATGATGGAGCTCTATAACCGTTTCGCTAATGACCGCACTGCCATGCCCACCGCCAGCATCATCCGCAGCTTCAAAAATGAAGGTAAAGATCCTCTGCTCCACATGATGATGCACCTGTTGATCATACAGACTGATTAAAAACGAGAGCTACTTTTTCTTTCTTAGTTGCTGGCATGTTTATTGAGCTTTTTTTCATTTAAATATGATCTGTATTTTTCTCATCACTCTCTGTTCTGCAAGGCCAAATGTAAGTAGAATGTAAGACAAAAAGAGTCTTCTTGTATACATGTGTAGTTTTTCAAGTAGACTGTAGCTTCAAGTGTGTACGAACAAATAATTTGTTGATTAAATCTAAGCTTACTTGTTACTTCTCTTTGCTAGGCAATGTTCCAATCAAAATGCGATTCTTATTCTGACATTCTTAGGATGAGGTTAGATAGGGATAGGATGCATTGCAGAACTCAAGTGAAAACCTCGATAAAACGACTATACAAAATGTGCATAATTTTAACCAACCATTTATTTCTCTTCCCCAGATTCATCTCCCAGTGTTGTGGGAGTTGGAGGAGTGAGGCGTCACCCACTCCTCTTCAACATGTCTGTCCCCCATCATGAACGCATCACAGCAGCTGAGCTTCGCCTTTACACCCTTGTCCAGACTGACCGCCACCTGTATGCTGGTGTTGACCGCAAGGTTGCTATCTATGAACTGGAATCGCATGACGGAGATGACAACGTGACAGATGAAAACACTGTGAGAGGCGACAAATTCAGAGGGGGAGGAGAGCGGATAGAGCTGGTGGAATTGGCTTCACGTCAGGTCTATGGCACTGATAACGGCTGGCAGGCCTTTGACCTCACTGCTGCTGTTCAACGCTGGCGTAAATCTGACCGTGGAAGCACGCACCGGCTGGAGGTGCACATTTCCAGCATGGCTAATGAAGAGGATGTTCAAGGGATGACAGGGGACAACAAAGACAGGAATCCACCTGAAGGGGACATGAAGATTGACACCAGCCCTGAGGAAAAACACAAACCTCTGCTGATTGTTTTCTCTGATGACCAAAGTAGTGATCACCGTGATGACAAGCGTGAGCTGAACGAGATGATTGACCACGAAACCTCTAACATGGTTCTCCAGAATGACTTGGGGACTGGCCTGAATGGGCTGTGGGGGGAGCAGGGGAGGGACAGGGATGAGGGTGTTGAAGAAGCTGAGCCAGATGAAGAGGACCTCATCCAAATGCGCTCCAATCTGATCTATGACACAGCATCCCGAATTCGTCGCAATGCCAAGGGAAACCATTGCAAGAAACAATCTCTGTACGTAGAGTTCAAAGATATTGGATGGGACAGTTGGATTCTGGCACCCACCGGTTACGATGCCTTTGAGTGCACTGGCATATGTTCCTTTCCTCTGACCAAGCACGTCACACCCACCAAGCATGCCATTGTCCAGACATTGGTGAACATCAACAGTCCTCAGAAGGCAGCACGAGCTTGTTGCGTGCCCACCAAGCTGGACCCCATCTCCCTGTTGTATCTGGATGACACAGGCGTGGTCACCTACAAGTACAAGTTTGAAGGCATGGTGGTGGCTGAGTGTGGCTGCAGATAGTCCATGCTTTGAGAGGGTTCAACAGTTTGTAAAGTCTTACAGTAAGAGTAAAGACACAGAACTAACAAAAAGCTGGAAAAGGAGATAAACCAAAACTGTCTTCAACAAATGGACAATTGTTGGAATCTCTGTAAGGGTTACTCAGTGACACTGGAAGTGCACATTCACTATTCATGAAACTTTGTGCGCTCCAAGTCAGTGAGTAAGGACAAATATGTTTTAAACAGCAAAACAGAAAGAAGGACTTCATCTAACACAGCTAAAGCCATGAATATCATTCAGACAGCGTGAGAGAGATCGTGTGTCAACATGTTGCCAGTAGTGATGTCAAGGTGTGTCCTCATACCCACAAGAATAAAAGGCACACAATTTCCCAAAGGACTGAACCAAGCACATTCTAAAGTGTGTGCAGCCTGGTGGGAACTTGTGGGCCAGTTGTCCCCCTCCCCCTCATCCCCCCTGACATCTGTCTCCCTCTCCACTTATCTCTGGCCTGCCCACTCGATGCAAACACTAATCAGCAACTTCATGTGTCCTGGCGCAGTGAAATGACCTCCCTCAGGCAACCTGACAAGACATGAACTCTCCAGGCCCAGCTCCTGCCTCCTGCAGCCTCCTGATACGTAGGCGCTGTGCAGGGGTCCTACTGGCAGGGTTATCTACCCAACCCTGTTTCCCACTTCACATGCCTCTTTTCCACTCCCCTGAGCTATAGCGATAGCAAGGTGTGGGGGGTTGAGAAACATGTATGCCACCATTGGACGGCATTCTGGGCAACTTCTGAGGTGGTGGGATGGGGGAGTGGGACAGGACAAGGGGGCAGGGATTGTCCACATTCCTAGGCAACAAACAATCTCAACTGTCTCAACTCACTGACCTAGCACCATGTGCCCCTAACATGTCTCCAGCTCCTCAGTTGAGTTATCCATCACTTTTATGGTAAAAATGCCTTTTTGGACAGTTAATATCTGAAGGCTACAAATCAGGAGTGGATAAAGGGGACACCTTCTTTTAAAAGCCTTTTGATACCTCTGCTGCTTGTGTCAAATAAAAGACTATTTATTGTTTTAATTTATTAATTTTTACAACAGAGTAGATAACTATATATGTAAATTTGTAAGTTACCTAGTGTAGAGCAGGTTTTGTATCCATGACAATGCATTGGCAGAACAATATTCATTTTGTTGGGAAGAGAAATGGTAACAATTTCTAAAACAATAAAGAGCAGCTGCTTAACAAATCCTAAATGCAAAATGTCTCCTTATCTGTGAATGAATCACTGATCCTTACTGTTTCAGAAAGTTTACATACCATGTTTTTTAAAAATGTCATTATCTCGTTTCAAGATGAACGCAAACATTTGGAGCTAAAATGCCACACTGATGTTATTTTTCATAGTTAATTGTACATGATCTATTTCCCACATTACAGCTGTCAATCAAAGCATCTTGGTCTGTCAGCGTTCCTTTCCATTATTTTAGGAAGAAGCTGCTGGACCAATGATACAATGCATTGCTGACATTCAGATCATTCAGTCCAACAGTATCAGCTCACAGGTCATAGTTCAGACATGACACACAAACAAAGAACCATGGGAAACTGAGTGGAAGGCTTGCTAATGAACAAAATGGATGGCCTGCTGCTCACACTGACAGCTAGCAGATGCAGACGGCTGTGATGGAAAACCTGTTTGTGAAGAGAACAAAAAACAAACAAACATCTGGACTCCAGCATCTCTTTCTGCTCTCCTTAAATGTCTATGATAGTTAAATCAGCACATAGAACACTATTGGTTTTTTTATGTGTCAACATGCAGAGGAGAACAATAAAGGATACAGGTTAGGTTCGTTGCCTGAAACGTGTAAAACTTTCTATTATTTCTTTGATGTTAACAACGTGTATCCCACACGTGTGTGTCTGTGCGGCAGAACTGAGGTCAAAGATGAAATTCAAAGACTAAGATGCAGACAGACATAAAACACAGAGCGAGATATGTCTGTAATGGAGAAATTGGTTTGTAGCAGGCAGGTGAGTATTGTATATATAAAAAAAAATTAAGTGGAATTTGTAGATTTAAGCATATTTCCTTTAAAGGGCTTTTGAGACCCATGATCAATGTTAGTGCAGTTATTCTAGTCATTTATTTATTTTAGAAAATGCCGGGGAGAGGTATATTATAAATATGCAACAATAATACCATTGCTACACTGTTGATGATGATTATGCAGTGCGTCTGCTACCTCCTAGTGTCCTGTTTTGACACAATTATTGTTTTATTTTTGTGGCTGTACATACAGTGTGTGTTGTAACTGCAGTTTCAGCTTTAAAAGCATATGATAATGTTGGCTGTTGAGCTTCCTCAAAAAGTATTTGGCAACAGCCCACTAATGACAAGTGCACTGAGATGTTTCAGAAAGCAAACAAGTTGTCTAAAAATGGTTACAGACCAGAGGGCAAGAACCTCGGCCAGTTACTGTGACAACAGGCGGTGTCAGCTATGTATAGCTCACTAATTGAATATTTACAGAATAGTGGAAGAAATATGGATCTGGCCTTTGTCACTGAATGGCAAACTTTCAGGAAATATGATGAAATGGGAAGTCTTTAGTATTTGCTCTAATGATAAGGACTGTTGGAGAGTGCTCTGTGCTTTTTCTCTGTCTTGTTTTGACAGGGCTCCATCTGTTGAAAGAATTTTGTGAAGGCTTTAGCCTACGTGATTAACTTAGGAGCACACCTTACAACAAGTAAACAAACATCCAATGTACAGACAGTTCAGAGGGCTTCAAAATCCTGTAATGCTCCCGTGCCTGACATCCTGACGTTGGCTGCAGGACGTCGACGTGTGTCTCGCTGTGAACGTGTGTTTTGGTGTGTCATCCAAAGCTGCATGACTCGCCCTGACTCTGACGTGGGGTCTGTAATAGGGCCTGATTGTTTCCGTTTTGGGTCACATGTTTATCATTCCATCTCTTGGCAACACCACCACCCAGTACTCACCCCTCGCTCTTTCCTCGAATCTCTTCATTTCCCAGGGAGACAAAACTGTGCTCAACTATTACTTTTGTGACTATATGCAAAAGTACCTCCAAATGTTCAAACACCTTTTAACAATTTGTATTTGACTCTGATGTTGCGCAATTTCAAAAAGCCCATTGCAAGAGGCAGTAATGAAAAACAGATGTTCAATGTTGATCACATGCTTTTATGCAAGCCAAGAAAAACTGCACTCAGACAGATTTCTCAGGACAAAGAGAACACAACTGTCACTCTTCATTTAAAGTAATAACCCTAAAAATATATATAATTGGTCATTAAAGAGAAGGATGCTGCGTGTGAAAAGAATTGAAAAGTGTTGCATTATTACATGTTAAAATCATGCTCAAAATGACGCATAATCCTGACAGTAATGCTATATGAACTTTGAAATTTGGCACCCCATCGTGAGTGATTAAGTGCTTTTAAGTTCCAAAAGCAGGCAGCTACAAATCCTCTGGCATGATGCCAGCAGAAGTTTGTATAAAACATGCTGAGGATGCTGGTTTTTTTGTTTGTTTTTTTTTTTTTTTTTTAACAAAGGTAAAACTGCATAGTGACTGAAAAGCTTCCCATCTCTAAAAACATGTGATTTTAATTGCTACGGCAATCCCTGTGGAACCAGTTTACAGAGAACAGACACTTGAAAAGCCCAGGGCATCCAATTCACTAACCAGAGCAGCACAGCAGAAACCTGAACCTGAGGCGAATAACAACACACTAAGTCTGTGTGCAGCTTTAATACATTTTCTCATGCTCATCAAGCCCAATGTTGGTAAGGCTGTGCAGAAATTTGTGCAGAAATAATGATTCATGAAAAAGCCTTACAAGCATGCGTAAAGGAACAAACATAGCATTGAATATAACAGAGTCTTTGCCAAGATAAATACAATTAAGAAATATGGTTCACTTGCTCAAAGAGGATTGTTCACTTCAAATGTTTACATTATTCTTACACTGGAGACAGCCTCTTACATATTTTAGTTTTGCACAAACTACAGACTTACTTTACCTTTCATAATAAATGAAAGACAGATATCAAATCATTTTGTGATATTAAAGGAGTAGCTTTTTGTGACATGCGCTTATTTGCTTTCCTGCCAAGAGTTAGATGAGACAATGAATACCACTCTCATGTCTGCACAGTAAATATCAAGCAACAGCAGCCATTTTATCTTAGCTTAATGTAAAGACTGGAAACAAGGGGAACAAGATCCGCTCACCAATTAGCATGTTATATCTCATTTGTTTAATCTGTACAAAAATGTGTGGTTTTACAGTCTATGTGCCATACCATTTCTTGGCCAGGTGTAGCCACTTACTGGAGCCTCCACAGAGCCAGGCTAGCTGTTTTCCCCTGAGTGCAGTCTTTGTGTTAAACTAAGCTGACTGGCTTAGCTTCTAATTTACTGTATAGACTTGGGAAGGATGTCAATTTTCTTATCTAATTCACTGCAAGAAAGCAAATAAGCATATGTCACAATAACGTCAAACTATTCCCATGAGCAGTTTGTAAAGTGGCCCGGCATGAGAGCTCACTGCAGACATTCACTCAGATTTGTGGTTTTCCCTTTTTAACTACATGTATGATCAGCATTGACCAAAACACATCTATGACATATTATCTGCTTAACATCTACAATATGAAAGCTTAAGAATCCATCCAAAGACACTCCCATGTCAGGGAAACAAAGTTGCACATTAGTTCACGTGTCATCCCTCCTCATCTCGTTCTGCATTCACTTGATATAGAACAGCTGTAGAAATTGCAGGTTAACATGACAGTATGCAGTCTTGCTTAGAGAATTATACATTTTAAAAAGATATTTGGATGTGACTGAAATGGCAGTGATGTAAACCGTGGGATCCCATATCCCTCACGGAGCGTGCAATGGAAAGTTGATCAGTAACAACCAAAATCTGTAGAAAAAATCAGGGCATCTTGACAGATTTTCCTGCAACAGTTTTGTCACTCTGGACGTGAATGCAGCACTGATGTACAGTATGTACCAAAGAGGAGGTCCCAGTGGGTGAAGTAGGGGGCGTAGTTGCCACTGTAGGTACTATGGTGGGCTTGGTGGTAGGGGGCTCCTCCCAGACAGGGCAGCAGCCTGTGCAGAGCCCAGGGCAGGTCGTAGCCACAGTGATCCTCCACCGCCAGCCAGCTGTTGATGAGGTGGAAAAAGGCTTCGCTTAGAGGGTGGCATCCCACCACCCAGGAGCTGGTCAGAGCCAGCAGCAGCAGAGACAGCAGCTCAGCTGAGCTGGCGTCCTGAGCTGCCAGAGCGAAGGGTGTGTGGTGCTGGTGATGCAGCTGGTGGATCCTCTTGTAGAGCCCGGGAACTCTGATGAGGAACAGACAAAAAGCGGTCTCTGCTTATAGGCTACTGTTACTACAATGGAAAATCACTATCATATTCCCAGAATGGTATAATGTCAGTGCAGTCTACTCAAAGAAAGTTGATTTTTCTACTTCTATTAGTACTACTACTACACTAATACTACTATTACAATCGCTACTACCAATACTACAACTATTACAAATGATGCTACATCTTATTAAAAGATAATTATCAAGACAAAACTAAACAGGATTTGTACAAATTATTTCAGTATTTAAAAGTAATAATTATACAGCATAAACGAATATCAGATGTAGAAGAAATACTCAGTTTTACTTAATTAAAAGCAATACCACAGTAAATATACTTCATTACGCAAAGGTCCTGTATCAGCAAAATGTAGTTTAAGTATAAAAGTAGCCACTATGCAGGCAAAATGATCTCTGTCACAGTATTATTATACTACTGCATTATTATTACTGATCCATTAACATGTAAGAACACATGGTGGAGATGATTCTAGCTATTTTTCATAAGATTGGATGGCTGGGTACTTAGTTATTTCCACCACTGATTATGACATATAGACTGATGGGGACTATGAAGTTGCCAACAGATCATTTTTTGCTCCAGTAATCCCAAAAGCAGGCTAATAATGTGTGTATTTTAGTGGTTGGAAAAGAGTCTACAACATCACTGGGAAACTACAGCTCCCAAAGGAAACCCAGATCAATAACAAATAAAGGAAAGATTTCAGAAGAAGTTTAGCATCAATGATCGGCAGTAGAATAAAGGTGAAGCCCAGGCACATAACATAACATAGGCGCATCTGCTCACCTGTGCATGGAGAAGTGCCACATGAAGAAGAGCATGTCAAAAAGCAGGAAACATGAGAAGACTTCCACAAAGAGCTGCCAGCAGGACGGAGCCAGCTCCGGTAACGGACCAGGGCTCCTCAGCGTCTGAAAGACTGCGGTGGCGGGGAGGACGGTAGTCAGGTATCTGTACAGTACCCTCCAAAAACAGTCAAACCATCGTCTGAGAGACGGCGGTGGACCCGAGTCTGGCGCGATCCTCCACGACCGGACCCGCTCACTGACGCTCGCCAGCGCGTCCAGCGCGAGGAAAGGTGCGCAGAGCAGGACGTGCGTCAAGAAGGCGTAGGACGCAGGCAGGTACGGGGACAGCAGGATAACCTCCTGCCCTGCTCGCGCATACTCCCAAATCCCCTGGAGGATGAGCGCGCATGCTTCTCCATCTTCTGCATAGCTTACGTCCATCACGGCTTTTACCTCTGTATGGCGAACAGCAACATCACCAAATTTTACCAAAAAAATGTTTTAAATATAAAAAATACTGCAGTTTTTCCTTTCCAAACTAAGATCTTCAAATACGTTGGGCTATATGTCTCCACTTTGAATGTACTCCAGAAGGATCAATCCTGGATCAACTCTCTGCCATCACATTTTAGAATAAGGTAATCTAGGTACTTTTCCTCTGCTGCTGTCACGAGCATTCAGAAGGCGATTCATACTTCTGGAGAAGTTTTCTCTTCATATGCTGGTAGGAGGGGCCCCATGCCTGAAAAACTAGGCTCTTGTTTAAATCTAATTAAAAGTGAGCCTCTCTCCTATATCTTTTATGTGGAAGCACGGTGTGACTGCCCCAGACGGAACCACTACGCTTTATGTACTTGAGCCGCCTCCATAAAGTTGGCAGCTGGAAACTCAGGGGATTTCTGATAGATACTGTCACATAACAGGACCATTTCTTTAGCAATGGGGAGGTCTGATTATCATCTGACACAAAGAGTGATTACACTTTAACTATGGCACAACGTTAACAAAATGATATAATGAATGATGCAGAGGGGGAAAAAACTTAAAACCATTTAAATCTTTCTTTGTCTGTATGAAAGCAAGATTTAAAGAGACAAAAGATTCAGGACATCGATGAAGAAAAATCAAATGAACCCTTACAAATGTCAGAATTATTTCTGAATGATTGTGCCATCAAAATCAAACGTATTCTAAGGTAAATTATCCAAATATTCAAATTTACACAGGGTATAATCTACAGTCATTGTTTAATTCTAACCAATGTCATTTTTAAACATATAGTAGCCTATAATCAATACTTTTATATTAACAATGTATCAAATGACATTGTGTCTAGTTTTAGTTAGTTAGTAGATCTATTGATAGCAATGCAATATAAGATCCATAACTATGTTTACTATGAACAAGACCTCACATAATGAACCATTGCCTATTACTTCTATTCAGAGTTTTTTTTCTGTATTTAGTCAGGGACAGGCAACCAAAAAAGGGGACTGTCAGATAGGCTATTTTAATAATTTGAACCAATACAATATATGCTTAACAAACAAACAATATTTGATTATGATTTGATTTGAATATGATTCAATTATATTAGTCTACTTGAAGCTTTTTATATTTGTCCCTCTGTCTCTCACTCACACACACACACACACACATGAAAGCTTTGCATGAGCTAAAACCCCTGTTTTGCAGAGCTTTTTTCTCGTGCTCCCTTTCTGCAGTTCAAGAGAGGTGAGTTTGGCAATGTGGTGCAGCCTTATTCTGAGAAACACAGACACAACCAATGTCAAATCAGAATGGTGGTTGTCCATGCCAAACTGTGTCTCCTCAATGTGCTCCCGAGCAGAACAGCATACTCTGTTCCAATCTCCTCCCGGATAATGTGTGTGACTGTTGACACTTTAGGAACTTGCACAGTTGAAGCTCGGGGTCAACCTCTGCACTTCTCAGCACCTTGTAATGTGCAACCTTGTATTTATATAGCGCTTTACACAGTGCTCAAAGACAATTTACAGAGCAGAGAAAATAAGAACAAAGCAACCTTAATATACAAATATGATTTATCAAGTCTCAGTTCATAGCCAGGTAACAGTAAACATAACGTTAGCCTAGCTAGATGGCTACGATTACAGTACAGTAATATCAAAGATCCTTGCTCCTTCTCAACTCTTTGGTAATATTCTATTCACAAAATACAACTAATAGTACGGTAATGTTAAATCTTACTTGTGAAAAGTAATCCCCTGAGCCATGTTTGCGATGGTCTGCCGACCGGTTCAAGATGGCAGCCGCATTTCTTGCGCCCAGCAGGCGTCTATCTCTATCACACCTGTCAGTGGTCAGACTTGATGCACTAGATGTGATAGTTTTTGAGAATTTCTTCATTTACTTTGGTATGTTAGTCCAGATGAGCCAACCCTCCCAAGATGTAAAATACTGTATTACAGGAGTATGAGATATGTAGCACTTCATTTCTTCATGTGGCTGTTTATTAGTGAACAAGTAACAATAATATTCAGAAAAACATAGTTTTACCTAATTTCTTGAACGGCAATCTCTTCTCTCATAGATGACATGTTTGTCCTGTCTCAGGCACCATAGCTATACTGCTCGTTTGGATAGGGGAGGGGGGTGCAATTCACAACCCTCACCACTAGATGTCACTAAAACTTACACACTGAACCTTTAAAATAGCGGAGACACTGTAAAGCCTGGAGGCCAGTCTGTGTGGACTGTAGGCCTATGTGAACCTCAAGGGTCAAAAGAGCAATGTTTTGTGGTGCTGCTTCTTTATGTTATATTATATATTTATGTATATTCAGTCATTTCCTGAATGGTTACTGAAAAACAACCATTTGGCAGTAACAAAAACAAAAAACCTTCTGTGGACAAACTCCTACTTTGTCAACAGGAAAGCATACGTTAAAACATATAAAGTTTCCAGGATGAAGATAATGATGATGTAATGAAAGTTTAATAGTCATAGTAGGATGTACTATATTATGTAAGGAGGCTAAAAAAAAAGTAACCAAGTAATTATTCATGTATATCAGAGTTCATCAGGAGCGACTCATGAAAAAAGTTGGTGATTATCACCTCCCAAATATGATCTCATCATTACACAAACATTTAAATAGGATCCAGAGGTTCGTTCCCAGTTACTCATGATTAGTTTTCAGAGGTATTCAGGAATTACTTAGAAGTGATCCATTAATTATCAGGTCACTCCTGATCTGCTCATCGCTTGTGCCTTTACTGACAAGCATTACCCTATCCACCCCACCCCCTACTTAAAAGCATTAACACTAGTCTAAACACTGAAGTATCTTTCATATTTATTCTGTTAATATCTGTCATCTGATCAGAGTAATTCACTGTCCCTTACAACCTGGATAAAAAGGAACTACTCATATTTAAGCCTAAAATGAAGTTTGTTAAATTGATTTGTGATGACAAATGCAAACAGTGAGGAAGCATTCATTATGGTATAATTATTACTCAAAAGTAATTTTTTGAATGAAATTACAAGTTGTTTTTATAATATATGTTTTACTGTGTCTGAAACACATTTTTATTAATAACAAACATCCTTTACATCACAGTGGACTTGCAATGTAAGTTCTTAAAAATCTTAATGCAATGGATTTCCCCACAGAAAAACCTTCACTGTCAATTTGACAATATCCTGATTGCACATTCACAACTGAAATCAGTGCAAAGACATTTGCCTTTCAAGTCATTGTAAGTCTCAATCAATCAAAGAAATTATTTTTAAATGAACAACTGGAAGTCACTTTGAGGGCTAACTGGACCAACTTTAGACAACAGAGATAACAGAGCCCAGACCACATAATATAATCACTGTTTGCACAAGAAATGATCAATGCAACTTGTACTGAGTTACGGTGAATTCAGACCAAGCCATTTAACTTCAGATTAAAGACATATTTTCTCACTGCGTCTGCTCAACCAATAGAAAATATCCCTACCAAGTTCCCAGAATCATTGTCTAAACATGCCTACATACCTTTTTCCTGAAGTAAATTATGCAATGAATGGTTCCTTGGAAACCATCATGTGGTCATTAACATTCTGTGCAACACCAAAAACCCTCGGTTTAGATGATTCCACAAAAACTTGCTGGGAAACTAAATATTTTGTGAACAAGTAGACAAAGACTGAGCCAGTCATCTAAGACAGGGGGTGACACATTAACTGAAGTTTTTTTTTTTTTTTTTTTTTAGGGTTTTGAGGCATCCAGAATGAATAAAAAACAGACATTCTGACATACAGGGTTGGTAACATTTCTACAATGAGTCCTTAAGTTAAGCTCTGTTAAACAGCTGGTTCAGCCAACCTGTGTACTGCAGTTCAACAACCTCCTCCAGGGCATATCCTGTAAACATTCTTACATGACGCACATGAAATGATTACTTTAGATCATTAAAAAAGTTGAAAATTGTCTACTGTGAAAAGCTGAAATCACATGTCTGCAGTTTGGTTACAAAAACCTCGAGTTCAAAAGCAGTTTTTTGTGTATAACCCAACATAATCTTAAAGTGGGTCCAGTTTTGAATAAACCTCCTAATGCAAAACAGCAACTGCTGCACACATTAGTCCCTCCACTAAATGTACAGTGTGAAAAACAAAGTGATGCTTACATTTACAGAAAAATGTGGTGCAACAACAACAGTTGCACATATTTAATTAATATTCAATAGGTTCCCTGTGCTCAAAAGAAATTTCACAAAAACATATCAACACAAAGAAATGATATTTCATCTGACAGCCAGCAGCTACCACACAGTACATTCATCATCCCTGTGTTTGTCTACAGTGACATATCTGGTCAGGGTCCGTATTTCATCAAGCAGCTCAGAGTAAGAAATCACAGCCTAGCCCTCAGAGTGACACATATTTGGTCCTTCTTTTAAGCAGGAGTATCAAATTTTAATAATTTATTTAAAGTTTTGTGAATGAAGAAGCTGTTGCAACTGACCGCTTACTACACCCCACCACCGAACAGCGACTTTCCTTAAGCAGGACACAAAATTAGCACCAGTTGCAAGTGGCTGGTAGATTTGCTTTAGTCACCAGCCAAAAAAACAATGATAATCTATTGAGTGGCGGGTAGAGTCTGAACCTTCACTAGCCATTTGGCCGGAGGACAAAAAAGTTACAGTAGTGGATTTAGGAAAGTTTACACTACAGTGACCCCAACCAGCATTACCTGAGAAAGCTTAACATTTGCTAAATACATCCGTTAGTTCTCATCCTAGAAGTCTCATCATACATAAAATACCATGGCTAAGTAGCTCCTCAAAGTAATACAAGAACAGTGGTTTCTTTATTTCCATGTCTTCAACATGGAAGTAGTGAGGATGCTGAATTTAAAACTAATCAGCTGATAACATTAAAAAGGCAGTAGAAATAGCATTTTCAACCAACTCATGGAGCTAACGTTAGCTTAACCAGACTTGGTTTCTAAAATCTGCTAGCGACAGTTTCGACAAAATTGAAGGTCGCCAGCTCGATATAAGAGGCCTGTTTGTCTGCCTCTGTGTGAAATCAAGAATCCACCGTTTCAAAAATGACAAATGACAATTTCGAGTGGTAAATCTGCAGTTATTGTGAAAACTTGACAGGTATAGCAACAGGAACTAGGGGTGCCTGGGGGTTTAGCAAACGGTCAATTCACGGGGTGAGGACAAAGCAGCTAAAACAACTATGTGTTCTTCACTACTTTCATGAATTCTTTGCTCCTTAAAGCTTTCTTCTTTAGTATCAACAGGTTTCAACTATTGCTGCTTCAAATGCTCAATGAGGACACGTGCACGTAAATGGATAACACATAAGCAGCAATGGATCTGTGATCCTTGATGCCGTGGCTAAATGGACTGAGCGCACTTGATGCATATGATCTGAGCAGCAGCGGTGTCGACTCCTTCAAATTATTATTTTGGCTAAATGAGTTTAAAAAAGGGAGCTTATTATAATCCCTCTCTTCCTAAATATATCAAGTCCTCTGCTGTGAGGTAGGAGAATTTTACATCCTAAAAATTAATGTGATTTCTAGCAGTGATTCTGAAATGCTTGAGAATTACGGGCCATAGTCAGCTTCTCTGGTCCAGAGGGAGAACCTGCCAGCCAGCCTGTGAGCCAGGCTCATGCTCTCCAGCAGGTAGTCCTCCACCCCTGGATGGTCCTGTGGGTCTCACTACTTTCCTAGCTAATCCAGGTCCAGGATCTGCTCACCAACAATGTCCATGGCTGCAGAGGCCTTGATAGAGCTCCCTGCAGAGCCAGAGTCCACAAACATCTGGGGTATGTCGTTCCCAAAGTAGATTTTGCTGTTGGCTGCGATGGCCTTGTACTTCATTAGCTGCAGGTACTCTGGTGTTAACTTCAACTGCAAGAGGGGCAACAGAGTTAACAGCAGAGTCTGGACTTTACAGTCCCCATGTGTCCTTGCCAAGTTGTGCGGCATGTGCTTGTGTCATCTCTTTACCTTATTGGCCTCAGCAGCTCTCTGTGCTGAATAGAACTCTGCGTCTGCCTTGGCTTTCTGGCGTGCCAGGAAAGCACTGTCTATAAATCAGAAACAAACACTGTCAGAGTCAACAGCAGCAGTTTGATTTAAAAAAACAGAACAAAGAAACCCTCCAAACTGAATTACATATAAACAGCTGCTTCCCACACTTGAACAGCAAACCAGCACACAAAACAAGTGTGCTTGAAAATAAGCAATTCTGAATGTACACAGCTGCAGAAAGGCCCTTCGTGATTCCCTCATAACCTTTACAGCAGTTATCTTTTTATTCGCATTGATTCCTGATGCTCATCTTGTCTGTCTTACAGTAAAAACTTGTGTTTCTAATCAAGGATTTCATAATGTCCAGTGAGTCAGATTGCACACGCCCAGGCCTGTGCAATTACACTGTCTAAATAACATGCAGCCATTATTCAGGATATTACATGGCTAATTGTCTGTGTGAAAAAGGCCTTGAGGAGAGAAAGTACTTATGAGCTTTAGTACACATACATATATATGAACCTACAAACAGATGTGGAAAGTAACTAAGTACATTTACTCACTCAGTTACTTTTCGTAAATAATGTACAATTTAGAGACATTTGTACTTGTTTTTCAGTTTATGCTACTTTACATTTCTAGTTCACTCCATTTCAGAGAATATGTATTTCTTTACTCTTCACTTTACATTTTCTGACAACTACAGTTAGTTTGAGATTAAAAATTGAAATAAAAGCTTGCATAATACAATACATTGTTAAGATTAGTGGGTCACAACCTTGGTTGCTTTGTAATATTAATTCATTATAAAAAGTCTGGCTGGGGCACTAACTGACTTTAAACTAATTTCTTTTTCGTGTAGGGTTGCATGCATCTCTCCCAGTGTTGACATCACAATAACTAAACAAACTATTTTCTTCACCACGAATACCTGGATATTTTTCTGAAAGCAGTTCTGTACTTTTCCTTAAATACATTGTTGTACTGGTTCTTTTACTGGGTCTAGGTACTTTTTCACCACTGGATACAAACCTTCGATTTGAGAGATCTTTTTTTCTGTTTCCTTCTCCATGACTTTCTGTCCGAACTTGATCTCTGCCACTTGTGCCACTTTCTCAGCCTCTACAAAAACCAAAGAAGCATATTGAAATGTTCAACCTGCAGCGTGTACAATGAATTTTTCCGGTAACCATGATTGTTATCTTTTGTTTTTCCTTCCTCACCTATCACAGCTTTGATCCTTTCCGTCTCTGCCTCCTTCTCCACAACCTTCTGAGTCTGCTGAGAGATCAGCAGCTTCGTCTTCTCGCTCTCCCTGCAGACATACACAAACACTTTGATTAGACCTCTCCTCAGGACTGTGCGGGCATGTAAAGAGCCGGCTTCACTGACATCGTCCTCACTCTCCCAATAATACTGTTTAAATGGAACACATTTTCAGCACATCATCAGAAGCCTAATTATTATTATTATAGTAAGATTGTGAGGCATTTAATTAAAATTCAGTGCTTCTATGGAGTTCTTGAACAAGACATTATGCTGCGCTCACGTTATGCACGTTGGACTGCGATGGAAAAATCCCAATGTTTCCCATGTTCACGTCAACAAGTGAAGACACTGTATGATTGGAGAGACGTGAGTTGGACTTTGGCTGAGGTGAATCTTTGCCTTTATAGGCACTTTGCATAACTAAAGCACAAAGTTGGATATTTAGTAGTGGTGTGACGAGAAACTTAGCTCACCAGACAAGACAGGATTTTGGAATCATGAGATCGAGACCAGATTTTAACACTATTTTTAAGAAATCTTTAATGCTGGATAATTGGAAACCTCCTTGCATTCTGGTGATTTTTTCCTGCATCAATGGAAATGTTTTATTGTAATAAATATATAAGATCTAATAAAAATATATGTAAAGGGAAACAAAATTCAGGTGGCAGGTGACAATTCAAAATATAAATATGTAACAGATTATAATGCTTTCAAATGTGGCACCTTTTCACCTCAGTGATAAAGTAAGTTATAAACCTGTGCACTTCAATAGCTCGTGTGTGTCATCAGGTTTTCTGCTCATGTTCAAAACTTTCTGCACATTCAGAATCCCTCCCACATCTGTGTTCTCTACACAGACGTCGTATTTTAACGAGACAAAGAGGTGGAAATCCAAACCAACTGAAAACACTTGTGATGAGGCAGAAATCTCACCAAGTGCAGCTCACAGTCCCAAACAGGGCACACTTCAGTTTTTTGATGTTTATATTGCAAAACGCTACCAGACACGCAAACACTCAGTCAGAAACTGGATGCGACTCAAAGCGCCAACGAGGGTTCACTTGATTACTATCACAGCGTCACCTAGGTGGGGATGATTTGCGAAGTGAGTCAACGTTGTCAGTTGTTCACTTGTTTTTCGCTGAGTGAGAAGAAAACTGATGTGTGGTGTGACAGCATGTGAAAAGTGTCAAATGCGTCTCGCGAGACAGATTTTCCCCTGACGAGAAATATCGTGGCACGACATTCATAATAGTAAAAGTCCATTTGTCAGAATAAAGTGAAAAAGCAATAGATTGCTGTCGGTAGAGTAAGGATGTCAATACAACAAGTTTCAAGCACTCATAATTGCTAGGTTAGCCATTGCTGGCAGACAGCAAAGATAGTTAGGTTAAAATGCTAAACAGCGCTAAGTACTATTTTATATGCAGATATTGGTGCTTTCAGAAAAATCTGAGCAATCATTTGTAATTATGACTTGGGTGCTGATGTGAAGGGTGCCAATTTAGGGTATGGCTGGTAATTACAGTAAATCCTATAAAAAGTGAAGCACCCAGTACTGGCACAGATTTTAGATGCCATCACAGGCGAGACATTTCCTTTACTGATGCATGTAAACTTGTTCTTGGCAGTGTTTTTTTTAAATTAAGATTTAATTTTTAAAAGTACAAAGCAATGCATTGTAGGTAATTCGCAGAAAAAAGTCAGACACTCAAGCACGGCCAGTCTGAGCCAGGACAGATATTGGGACTGAGCCTAAAACCTCAACACTTTCAGCTCCAAACTGGCTCATTTTTTCCTGTGATCACATTTTAACTGGCGAGACCCGTTTATATAACTGGAGCCGAGTTAGTTGAGCGACACCAACGCTCAGACTGTCTCACAGGCAGTAAAAACACAGCTTAATCTAAACATATTCTGACTCACTTAGAAAGTGAAACCAAAATGAGGATCATCCAAATTCTAATTATCCACTGCCTACTGAAATTGCATTTGTGAAATACGACAGTTTTTGCAGTAGCTTTAAATCCAGATGTAGCTCTGCAATATCTAATGCTGTTTAGCAGAATACAAATAAAACTTTCAACGTGGGAAACTGGTAACAACTTCTGCAATGGTCTGACTGCTCCCTGTTGCTGCCTGACTCCATCCACAGCAATGAAAAATCCCACAGAAGTGAGCAGTGCACCAGCCCTCCAATACCAAAAACAAAGAAACAGTGTGGAGAAGGAGACAACTTTCAAAGATGCAAAATGACATGAAGTGGCTACCATTTAAATGAACATTTAATAATACTAAATTGACATTTGTGTATGTGGCTGAATTCAATTCAACTACTACTATTAGAGAGAAATGTCAAATGTATGAGAGTGTAACTTGAGGGAAAGGAAGAAAAAAAAAAAAAAAAAAAACTGAATGCTTTGCTTCTCTCCAGCAGCAGGAAATTTACGCTGATGCCATGGAAAAAAGAACTTAAAGACATTCCTTTGAAGCGAGGACTGTATTCACAACGCTGAGTTAGAGCCACTACAATCAAAACATAATATAAATAGACCTGAGAGGTAATAAAGCAGAGCAGTTGACGCTAAATCAGGGTTTGTGGGGGGGACAGGTTAGACACACTGCCCTTTACATTAAACAGTATCAAAATTCTGTCCATTGCCTGAATATGTATGCATCTGACTTCAAGACTTTCACTTTCCACTTTCCTGAACCTTACAGCTTACTACAAATCCTTCATTTCCTCTTTATAATAGCTGCTGTGACTTAGCACATGCTGTTGATTGATGAAAGGCATGAAATTGAGTGTTCCTCCACTGCAGGACTTGGCAGGGGGTGTTGGAGGAACATCATGCCCATCCATTTGGGAGAGAAAACTAAACAGGCTTCAAGGAACACTGTGTTGAGCACAAAAGGAAAAAGAAAACTCACATGAGCTCGTAGTTCCTGCGTATGCTCTCTGGAATATTGGGTTTAGTGACTCGGACCGCCTGTGGACCAGTGAGACAGAAACAATGAAAAAGAAAAACAGTCATCACTGTGAAGTTGGTAGACAAAGACCGCAGCGAAGTAGCAAGAAACATGACTACCAGGGGAGTTATAAAAATAAAATAAAATAGCAGTTGGCAAGGAGCCTGGAGAGAAAGAGTCCTTTTCAAAACCCTCTGAACTGGGGGATTACTGGTGTTTCAGAAAGAAACTGCAATTGTTATTTTTAGAGATTTACTGGAAACAAAAAAAACAAAAACAAAGAAGAGCATTAAAACCCAGTGGAGTGTTTAACATGCAGGGATGAAACGAGTGCATCTGTGTGTGTGTGTGTATCATTACAAAACCTTTTTCCTTCAAAGTTTTGTTATTAAACACATTCCAGGAGAGTTGTGTTAAAGTCAGTATAAGGCTGCAAACTGTTATTGTTATTAGGGGCTTTGTATACAGTGTTATACAAGTTGACATTACTATTTATAACCTCAATGCCCTGGTTCTGCACCGCAGTCTAGTCTGGGTATAGATGCCTTTCAGAAGTTTTTAAAGTATCCTTCTGAAGAGAGACATGGCGACAATGAGGAACCGTCACTTTCTTAGTGCATTAACTTTTTCAGCAATGTGCCCTACAGTAGCTGGTCTGTTGCATCAGACCACACGGGCTGGCCTTACCTCCCCACGTGCATCAATGAGCCTTGGCCGTTCATGCCCTGTCGCCAGTTCAAAGGTTTTCCTTCCTTGGGCTAAATTATGAAAGACTGTAGTATCGATAAGCTCCGATGTTATCGGTTCTGCTTTCAGATCAGGAGAAGTTAAGAAAATACATTTCCTAGTTATTATTGCTACTTAAATGTTGTCTTGCATATTTTATCTCACCAAACCTGTCTAACTTGTAACAAGATTGAGACATTTATACAGCTATGATGCATTTTTGCCATTTACAATCCAGAAGAGAGATCTCTCGCTGAGCCTACGTGCACATTATCTCAAAAACTACAGCACACACAAGATGGCCGAGAGACGTAAATGTGGCAGAGTCGATGCTGAAGATGTTTGAGAGCAATCTGTCCCATCATTTATGGAAAGTGCATCATATAGACTACAGGCAGAGAAATACATAGTTTTCCACTGCCTGCCTTGTAGTTCACAGACTTCAGGTATGTATGCTAGCACGAGTAGTTAACTAACTTATTACTGTTACTAATTAACAGTAACCAGCTGATTGTTTAGCTATGGGTGGTTCATAACTTCATGCAGTAAATAATTGTGTATTTCGTCCGTTTTACATTTCCATCATCACAACATTACAGTCTCCATCAGTGATTTGTTCAAAATATTGCTGTACCCTAAATAATTGTTTATTTTACATTTTAGAAAATAAAACAATGGTAATTCTGTGCTTTCTCTTCAAAAATAACGAAAAGCACTGATGAACTAACTGAACTAATATTATAGCTGATCTGGATTTTATTACAAATAGTCTCAGAACAATAAATTTCCTTGAGGTAGCAGATTCCACCCTTTGATGTGTCACTTCATTGATTCATTTCCGGGACAATGGGACATCCTTAATTTTGAGTGCTGGTTGAAAGCTGGTTAGTGAACTTAGATTATGTTGTTACATATCTTTTGCACTGATTGATACATCCATACAGCATTAATGTAGGTTCACATCTACCAGTTTTGTAAAGAAATATAAATATTCATCAAATTTCTAAAATGGTCCAGGGCACCATGGTGGTCTAGGGTTTAAAGTGTTGACCATGAAACCCAATGCCCCTGCTTCAAGTCTGGCCGAGGAGCTTTGTTGCATGTCAATCCCAATTTCTCTCTACTGTCAATCATGTAATGAAGGCATAAAAATAACCTCACAAATACAAAAAGTGTCAAAATGATCCTTTAAATACAAAGTAGATGACCAATAGCTAATTTAACAGAGCTGATGGATCTAGGTAGGTTAAGACCTTTTGGTTGGCATAGTTTACTCATGACTTTACATTAACTTTCTCTAGTTTTTGGACATTGTCTTGACTGCAGTCTTTAGGCGACTTACTGTACCTGTATGATGAGTCCAGGAGCCATGGATGTTAGATCCTCTTGTAGGGTCAACTTCAGGTTTTCATCGATTTGGTCTGTGGGGGTAAAGCACGAAAGACACACAAGGCGGTAGAAGTAGCAACATTAATTTAAATCTCTGAACGAGTGGATTATGTTAGATTTGAGTCAGGGTCACAAAACCAAGCGGGAAGCTTCCGGTCTACAATATGAAGCCGATGCGGAAGTCCCTGAAACCTGCATTCTATTGAAAATCCAGCAGGGGGCGACTCTTCTGGTTGCAAGAAGAAGTCTGGCTCCATTAGAAATAATGGCAAAATGACCCTACTTCTCAACTGAATAATTCCCTCAGTAAACACTTTCCTGATGAGTTTATGGTCTCAGTCACTAGTTTCAAGTCTTCCTCAACACAAAATGATGTTCATTTAGTAAATTATGGTCCCATTTATTTTAAAATAGACCACAAAGCAGAGTATGTTTCAGGGTGGGATTATCTATGATTGACAACTCGTTACCATGGCGACCTGTCAATCAGGCTAGAGCCGACTCGTACCCACCCACCGTGCAGCTGAAAAAGCTTATTAGGAGTTGGCTGTTCACTTTCTCTGGTGAGTACATTTAGTTTTAATACTGTTGTTCGCTAGACAAAGTTATCAGCCCTGTTAAAATGACAGTTAACGTGAGTTACAGCTGCACCTAGCTAAGCAAGCTAGCTAGCTCTGCACACGGCCGTTGGCTCTATCGGCCAAACTTGAGGCTTCAAAACGGCAGTCCACAAACCAACGGGTGATGTCACGATGACTACGTCCATTTCTTATATACAGTTTGTGCAAAACATTAAATTCACACCTAAAAACAGCAAGTCTCAAATAATCTGGCACCCAGAGGACGGACACATTTCATATGGGGCTACAGACACAATGCAGAGAACATTAATATAAATACTGCATAGTCAACTTCTCTCTGACACAGCAGTGCATAACACATCAGTCTCCTCGGTGGTATCAGACAGCAACTGCTTCAAAATGCAGTCTGTAATCTGGGATCAATATCAAAATTTAATTCTTAAAAAGAAGTGGTCTGCTTATAGAGTGCTCTGACTCAGGGGTCGCGTTAATATTCTCCATTGTTTTTAACAATGATGGAAAACTCTTTAATCTCTCCCAACATTATAACAGATTAAGACTAAAGGGGATCTACCGCAGTTAAGTAACTTATATGCAACAAGGTCAATAACCACATGTAGACCACCTGTAGTAGACCTCCTGTCCGGTTGGTGGCAAGTGTGCATATTAAACAGCTGTTGTCTAGTAGTCTTGTCTTTGATCCTTCTGAAAAACAGAAGGACTGATGCGGTGCCAGTGAAGGACAAGCAAGTAATACTGGTAAGGTTTATCAGAACTACCAGTTTTCTCCCAATGAGTTAACATACAGACAATTATGATATGAATATCAACATTTAAAGCTGTATGTGAAAAGAAAGAAGCTTCTAATAAATTTTTTTATAGACCTGTGAGGTGCCTGCAATTTAATTAAAATGATGAGTAACAATATATCATGACAAAAAATTGAGTGAGAAAGTCTAACGCAAACTCTGCTCTGTATTGCTATTTCTTCGTCACTTCACCATGACTAGGGATAGGTACCGAAAACCGATTTGAAATTAAGAACAGTTCTGGATTGGTCCGAACTGAAATACAGATACACACTATCAGCATTTGAACATGGTTCACTTTAATTCATACTAACATAGATAGAAGGACCTTTTCATTTGTAGACTGTAATTAAATGTTTTACTCCTCTTATAATGACGATGTGTGTGTATAGAGTCTCATCATGGCCATGGTCGTGTTTACATTCTGGTAGGGTGGTTCAGTTCATACCAGCCCCCAACTTGGGGTTGGCGACATGCTGTTTATGTATATGCACCTTTAGAAAAGAAACTGAGGAGGTTTTTCAAATTAGTAGTTAGTTTACACAGCCCACCATACTTACCAAACAAGCCAATGTAGACCTCCTGTAGGGAGTGAACGCTGCAGAACTGGTTGAGCTCATGGTGAACCTTGTTGAATATCAAAGCTTTGTCGTAATCTGCGGTGAAGTTTCTCACTATGTCATACACTGCATAGAGAGAGAGAACGAGTCAGGAAGGAGAACAAACACATTTGGCTCTGCTGGAGGCAGCTGAAACAAAATAATGTCTAATGTGTGTCAGTGCCTCGTTATCTTCAGATGGGAAAAAGAAATGAAGAGGGAGTATAGGATAAACACACTGATGTTTTTGGCACGTGAGTTTACCTGCTGATGGAACGAGGTAGTTCACCACTTCTATGCGGTCAAAGTAAATCATCACTCCTCCACTGAAAGAAAGAAAATACAAAACACGAGCCACTTTATCCAGAACACCAGCACCAGATAAAAATGGTGCATGCCAATAGTGTTGTAGTCAAGACCGCCCAAACCGAGACCGAGCCAACACCGAGACCAGTTCCCCACATTACATGACACACAATAAAATGTGGAACGAGATCACAGGTACTTCTCAAATTGATCTGGAAGATCCACATTCCCATTAAAACACCCACATACAAACAGTAAGAGCTGAAATCAACGTAAGCATCTTTACTCAACACATTAGGGTCATTGTTTGCATTTGAAGCAATACATTTTACATCCAATCAAAGTTAACAAATAAATCAGATGATGCAAAAGCCATTTCTTCAAATTCCCAAAGTTATGGTCTTGAAATAAAATCCAGAGTCCTCAATTTCCGAGACTGAGACAAGAAGAGTACAAACGCGGTCGAGTCCGAGACGAGACCAAGACCATCAAAAAGTGGTCTTAAGACCGGTCTCAAGTACTACAACACTACATGCCAATGAACCTCTGACTCCAGCAGTGTTAACAGTCAATGTGTTATGTGGGACTGCATAAGGTGTGAGACGAATGCTCAGTGTAATACATCAAGACCACCATCTGATTCTACTTCAATCAAAACAGCAGACTTACCTTGTGCCGCATGGTACATTCTTCACCTCATCTGTCTGCAGTGTCGTCTATGAGCCAAAAACATAGATTCATGTTCAATTCATCTTTACGGGTTTGTCAGGAACACAAAAACATGTTCCTGACAATATAAAAATACCAGAAACACAGTGAAGTAGTTCATCAACACAGGAAGTCCTGGTCAGTATCATGAAATGCAATATGCCAACACTAAGAGCTGAATCACCATCTCTTTGGCAAAATGTGTCAACACAAACTTAATGTTGTATCCTTCACAAAGGTAGTTCACATTACAGGGCTGTTAATTCATAGGTTTGTCATTAAAATGTAGGTGGTGTGCTAATAGGCCAAGACACTATTCATTTCCCCTCTCGGAGCAGCAGAGGAGTGCATAAATTAGCTCATATTTATGGTCACAGAGGTCTGCGCACATTTCAAGACATTCAATCCTCTTGGCTGCTCAACTTCTTTCATGTGCGGCAGAGATCAGCTACGCCCTTGACTGGTAGATTGTCGTCTCATTCCCTCCATACCACAATTCAATGTAGATCAGGTTCCAAAAGTCTGGTGGCCAGAATTTATTCACTTTTTTAGTTAAAGAGGTCATTATGCCTTTTGGCTGTTGCCCTCTTCATTGAGAAATATCGTTTTTGTGCATGTAAATAGGTTTGCAAAGTGAAAGAGCCCAAAGTCCATCCCAAAGGGAGTTCCCATCTCCCACAGAAAACAAAGCTCTGCTTGAAAACAGCTCTCATTTGTGGTCCAGCAAAATACAGGGTTTTTTGAAAATGAAACCAAAACCTTTACTGGTACAATCCCTAAATAAGACTTTGAACCTGAAAATGAGCACAATATGACCTCTTTAAGGATTCTCACAGGCCTCTTTTTTTGGAGAAGTGACATCCAGATTCCTGCAGCAGGTCTGAACAGGCAATCAATCTGGAATAGTATTTCAATAGTATGCAACCCGTATGAGTTTGTTCATTCCACATTTGTACACAGAGCTTATTCAGCAAGTATAGTATTTCTAATGAAGGACAGACCCTCTGCATAAGGCCCGGCTAGTCATTTTTATAAATGGGACTCATATACCTATGAGAGGTTTTGTCCTGCAGTCCTCCTCTTATGGAAGGAAGTCGGGACTGTTTGAACAACAGTCTTAGGCAAAACAATCACATGCATATCATATCATCACTCAAACATATCATGTCACTCATTTTTACTACGTCATGACACTTCATCTGTACATTAATAAAAAACATACACTATGAATGGGTACAAAAGCAGCTGTAAGGATGACTGCCAGTGGAAGCTGCCTAATTTCATTTTGAAACAAAAGTGGAGCCTGGAGCTTTGGTTAAAATAGCATGATCAGCAGAGGGCATGCCCAGGACACAGAGAGGGTGAGCATTGCAGATAAAAAGTTAGACATCAGTCAAGAAACAGTCAGTGATTATCCTTAATCGATATTAATAATCATTGTTAATCATTTTAATCAGTTTTATTATCTTTAATCAGTTACTTTAAGTAATAATTCTTATATCATCATTCTTAATCATTTTCTTTTTACATAGATGTGGTTTTTACTTATAATTAGTGAACTGTAGTCTTGAACACAGAAACAAGCTCACTGTGGTTAGATCCTTGAGTGGGAGGAATGACTGCAGGAAGTGGCTGCAGATGGTTTGCCTTGTCCAACTGTCATCTACTGTAGATTATGACCATAGGAGAGGCTGCAGGTGTGTAAGATCTGCTGACACTGTGACAGTGCATGCTTTGGTCTACTGTCATCTACTGTTGTTGTGATTACACGAGGAACTGCTGAGGTGTTAATCTGCTAACATTAAGACTATATGCTTAATTACTGATTAAGGGGATTTGACTGTCAACTTCCAACCTCTGGTTATAATAGCCAGTATGAGCTTTGAGTGAATTTGCTTTTGACCTGTGTGAGCTTTGAGTGAACTTGCTGAAGGAATTCATGCTTTGCAAAAACACGACAGACAGATGATAAGCAGAAAGCAGTCAGCATAACAAGATTAATAATCAAGATTGCGGTAAGAAACCAAGCATTAATGAAAAATGCAACTTTACTTATGTTATTCTTATATTAATTGTTTTAAAAAAATACAATTGTGTGTCAAATTAAGCACAGTAACCTTTTAAAAAAAACACGGTGAGACTGAAGATGAAATGTAAATGATGAACTTCTTATCCACTAGTATAAAGATATAGAAAGTCTACAATATAGTAATACATGACAGCTGGGGAACAGTGTTAATTGGTAAAAATAACACAATAACAGAGGAAAAGAAGTTCATCATGAGGAAAGGAGGGGGCAAACCAGCCAAGAAGAGATATATATAAGACTGTCTGCAGACCATAGGATGGACTTCATCCTCCGATCTGCTGGGATGTTGTACGGGTTTATGTATCCTGTTTTGGAATAAACTCGTCTCCAGAGAAGTTTTTGATTGCAAATGTATTGACTATAAAAGAAAGCTAATGGAGTATTTTTTGACAAAGTTTATCAAGTTGGTGAAGGTGGGGACCTGGCTTAACTGGCCCAACCTGGTCGTACATCTGACCCAACAATTGCTCATAACTAAACATGGTAAGTTGATGTAACTCACAAATTATTTGGTTGAATAGTTGTGTTAAAGATTAAGATTGTTGTTATTTGCATAGCATTTGTAAAAATTAGCTTAATGTTTGGCTTAAAACTAAATGCACCATATTTGATCATATGCCCCGTTCACCTAAGACTAGCATGAGTGGCACAAGTGTCCATTTTTAGACATATGCCTTATGAATGTATGTTTTTTTTTTTCCCTGCCATTAGCGATGATAATAGCTCAGAGGAAGAAGACTATGATGTGGCAGATCCCGACTTCCTTCCACCCACCCACAACCTGGACATCGATGGCCCTTCTGCCAAAAGGAAGTGCGTGCGGCCTGCAGTGGAGGTGCTTGTAGACGAGGACCTGGACGAAAATGATGAAAATCAAGAGCCAGCAAAGAGGCCAGCCAACAAAAGGAAGCCAGAACCCCGGAGAACCCTCTGGAAGAAGGTTGACCTGGACAACCCACCCCTGCCTGAATACCAGCACATTCCCCCTGACTTCATCCAAAGTCCATTTGATTATTTCAGCAGGTACTTCAGTCACGAAGTAATCTCGAACATAACATATCAAACCAACTTATATGCAACCCAGATGAACATCAACACCACCTTTGCCACCACTGAGGAAGAAATTATGAACTTTGTGGCTATACTCATCTACATGGGGATTGCTCAGCTGCCCTCTGTTGATGACTACTGGGCAATGGAGACCAGGGTCTCACAAGTTGCAAACCTGATGTCATCCAAGCGCTTCAAGTTACTGAAGAGGGTTGTCCACTTCAATAACAATGCTCAGATCCCTAGTAACAATGATCGCTTCTTCAAAGTCCAGCCATTGTTGAACTATCTGGTTACTGCCTTCAGAAAAGAGCCAGAGACCCCCAAGCAGTCTGTTGATGAGGTGATGGTTGCCTACAAAGGCAAGACTGCTGGCAACCTGAGGCAGTACATAAAATCCAAGCAAGACAAATGGGGTTTTACATTATTTGCCAGGGCTTCTCAGGATGGCGTCATTCACGACTTGATCCTACACCAAGGGCAGACTACACTTGAGGCCCACGGTGTCCCTCTGACACCTGAACAACAAGTCATGGGTGTCACCATGTGACAGTCTCTGTCTTGGCAAGCACCATGTCCTCCTCCAGCCCAAAAACCATCTTTGCAGACAATTACTTTAGTGGCCAAGATATTGTGCGATACCTCAAGAGCAAGGACTGCCGGTACACAGGAACAGTCAGGGACAACAGGACTGGCAATTCTCCACTCAGGCCCATCAAAGAGATGATGAAGAAGGCTGTCCCTCGTGGTACCTGTGACTACATCACTAGTGATGATGGGATCCTGATGGTCAGGTGGAAAGACAACAAGGTTGCCAATCTGATGTCAACAGACATGGGGGTAGAGCCTTGGTCCTCAGTCTACAGGTACTGCAGTGAAACCAAGCGAAAGGGACAACTGAGCTGTCCATATCTCATCAAGAGCTATAATGCAAACATGGGAGTGATTGACAAGAGTGACAGGCTGGTCCACCTCTACCGCACTCCCTTGAGAGCCAAGAGATGGAACATGCGGCTCTTTGCATATGCCATTGATGTCAGCCTCACTAATGCCTGGATAATGTATAGGCGTGAATGATGGCCTGTCACTGAAGAACTTCAGCATCCCGGTGTTCAAGACAGCCAGTAGCTCAAAGTCAAAGACATCTCGACCCTGCAGGAGCTCAGCACCACTGCCAGGCAGTTCCAGCACCTCTGCTGATATCCCCAAGCCTATCCGGAGACACCGCAGTCACGTGCCACACTACTCTGTGCGGTTTGATGCGTCACTGTTCCGTGCCCCTGTCTACAGCAAAAACCTCCAGACCTGCAAGCAATGCAGCAGGAAGGGTAACATCATGAGATCAAACCTTCTCTGCAGGGTCTGCCAGCTCCATCTGTGCCTCAATGCTGAGCGCAACTGCTTTGTCAAGTACCATGAAGTGCCTAAAATGGCCTGAACTGGACTGACATGAGAAGAAATGAGTTCATTATGCAATGTTCCTAAATGTTCTTCTAGTTTTTATACATGCACTTTTTAAAAAACAAAACGTGTTTTATTTTTAACCATGATCCTCATGGCTGCTGATATTTTATTTGTTGTTTAGAATTATTTTGTATTCATCAAGTATTTATGATTTATTTATTTTTCTTTGATCAATTATAAAGTTTGTTTCACATATTATTATTTATTTACTTCTTATTTGCCAATGTTGAGTGGTCTTGTTATCGGTTCCAGAAACAGTTCTGAACTGAATGGTATGCGTTTTTCTTGTATGACAGTCATGCCAGTATCAGTACCTCAAGACAGAGATGTCTCTAAATAAATGTTCCTTGCAGTTTGTGTGTTTTTCTCATATTTTTAAAAATTCACTCTCTGTAATTTATTTTACCCTCGACAGGCAAGTGCTCATATATGGTAACTTCATTGACCTTGATTTGCAATGCAAAGATGAAAAAAAATTTAGACTTTTTCTTTCATGTCCTGTAACATCCCCCATTAGCTTTCTGAGGTTAAAATTTAGAATTTCCAAATATTTCAATGAGTGCCCTATAAAGGGTTAAATTAATACAGACTATTCAGAAAGTACACAGGTTAGGGAAAGATTTTGTCTATACCTCTCTTTTCCTTTCTTTTTATCCTGCCCAGATGTAAACGTAGGCAAGGAAACAGGGCCACCTAGAGACATGGCCTCTCGGGTAGTCATGTAGGATGTATTTTGTTTCTGTTATGTATTATTGGGATTTTATAATTGTTTTTCCTCGGATTGTGCATTTTCCTGTTTTTTATTGATACTAATTACACAAATAACCCAAATACAACATTTACAAATGAACAGAATATATTATTAATAATTTTCCACTTGGTATTTCTGTATATACAATATGTGTTGCATGTCTGCTTCTCCCAGCATGGACAACCCATTAAAATGTTTGTTTTCACATATCTGAATTGAGGCTCTTACAACAGAAGGTGTCGTATGCTGCACAGATTAGTGATTTTTGACTTCACGACTTACCTGAACAGACTTGTAGGTGGTGATGAATGGAAGCATAAGATGGAAGCCAGGGCTGCTGGTGGTGGTCAGGAGAGCCCCTCCCCTACATCACACACACACACACACACACACTTAGCTTGTAACAAACAGAAAAACAATGGATTATTTGTGGCAAGACATGAGTCTGGCCTATTATCGGCGCCGATATTCATTTCATCATTTTTCCAATTATGTGCACGGTCATTTTAAAAACAGATAGCCGATATAAATAATTAATAAAAAATGCGCTCCTTTGGCTCTGATGCAGCCACTTCTCTCAGTCTGTACTCACCACACTGTGTGCTGGAGTATACACATGCAGGGCGAAGTAAGCAGAGATCAGTGCAGCTTACACCAGTTGACTATAATTATGCTCGTTACTGTAAGTGCAGCAAAACCAGCAGCACTAGTAAAAGGCTGATACTCTATCAGTACAACAAGCAGGTACCTGCACCAAGTGATATTTTAATCTGCTCTGTCTCATCCACCGCAGCTGTGTTTTGGTTTTACACAAGCACGTGTGCTAGCTCGGCTTATAGCTAGTTTGTTATTAAGCTATAACAAAATCTCTGTCTGTAACCTGTTTAGCCAAGATGCTGTACCTTAAAATTTCTCCTTGTAAACTCAGCTGCTTGTTGAGAGAAACCAGCTCCTCTCTACAAGCAGCAGAGAGAGGAGGAGGACACGAGGATCGAGTGATGTCTTCTTTCTAAACTTCACTCAGTATTTTGATGTCAGAAATATAGTTTATTTTACTTGTTCCATTTGTTTCCAGTGAGATACTGATTTCATATAGTGACTTTGCTGCTGTCAACAGTTAGTTATATTAAATTTGATTACTGTTCTGAGTTTATTATTATTTTTTAAATAATATATATTTTTAAAGACAATTATTTTGTAATGAAAAAACAATAAAAGTATAGATAAAGAACAGAACAAGTAAATGTATCAATAAAATCTAAACACTTTAAAATAAATACAATGTAAATGGCAGCAGGTAAAGACAAAGTTCATGACAATTTATCAATCATAGGTAACAAGTCCATCTCTGGGATGGATCTCTAATTCATTTAATTTACTATTTTAAAGATTAAACATGACAATTAACTTTAATTTTGTTATTTTTAACAAAGTTTTGTGTTGGAGTTTCTTTTATTCTAAATTTTGACACCAATATTTAAAATTTTCGGTATCGGGACTGGCCCAGAAAAAAAAACATATCGGTCGATCCCTAGCATGAGTGCTGCCCGCACAGGGGAGCTACAGTTCACTGAGGGAACCATGAATGCCAACATGTACTGGGACATACTAAAGCAGACCGTGACCCCCTCCCTTCAGAGATTGGGCTGTTAACCCCAAACACACCTCCAAGATGACCAGTGCCTTGCTAAAGAAGCTGAGGGTAAAGTGATGGACTGGCCAAGCATGTCTCCAGACCTAAACCCTACTGAGCATCTGAGGGGCCTCCTCAAACAGAAGGTGGAGGAGCATATTTACACTGTTATACAAGCTGTACACTCACTACTTTACATTGTAGCCAGGTGTCATTTCTTCAGTGTTGTCAAATGAAAAGTTAATCAAATATTTACTAAAATGTCAGGGGAGTACTCAGTAGTATAATACAGCTGGATGACGTCATGTCTGACAAACTGTACCCCACTCTCCCTTAAACACCAATCACATTCTAAAATCTACAGCATAACCCAATGTATTTTTCTATTTAATTCAATAACAAAAATTCCATCTAAAATAACATGTTACTTGATTGTACATTAAAATTACATATATTCATTTAGCTGATACTTTTATCCATAGCGATTGCTTTACAATTGCTAAGTACTAGGCCTGAACGATTTGGGGGGGGGGATCCAATTGCAATTTTTATGCCAGATATTGTGATTGCATTTTTAGAGTTTGGCTAAAGTTCAATATTCACTGCCTATTCTGTCTATTTTTGACGGAAGCCGCGTCAAGCAGCACAGAGCAGATGATCCGGTCGATTTTCAAAATAAAATATCCTGTGCAGACTCCTGGTCGTATGTCAACAACAAACATGGTTGACACAGACAAAAAAATGAACAATTTTACTATGTACCCTACTTAACCATAATAGAAGCACAAAAATCAAGGAAACCCAAACAAATCAACAAAATCTGAACAAGTCAGCAAAATCTACACGACTGTTTAAAACGGTCAGATGCAATATATAATCTGCTAATCTGTCTTCACGATTAGCTAATCACATCAAAATCACAATTTCAATTGGAAAACGATTAATCGTTCAGCCCTACTAAGTACTGTATGTCAGAGGTCACACGCCTCTGGAGCAACTAGGGGTTAAGTGTCTTGCTCAGGGACACATTGGTGGATGTGTCACAGTGAGCAATTGAACCCAGGTCTCTCACACCAAAGGTATGTGTCTTATCCATTGTTCCATCATCACCCCACACTGCGTGGAAAATAATGGAATTATACATGACTTTTCTTTGTTTAGATATTGGTATTATATATTGGCCATCAGTTGCCCAGCTGTGTAAAATCAGCCATTGAAAAACCCATATCGGTCGACCACTAGATGACACTACCATTAACCGTAAGAGATGACACACTTAGTCAGTGACAGCCCATTATTTGTTTAAAGAGCACTGCTGATGCCGGTAATGTCTGATCTAAATAAAATAAAAATACAACATGTGCGGCAGTCTCACCTGTAGTAAACTCCAGTGTGTCCCTCTTCGATCTTGTGCACGGAGGCTAAGAGCGCTGCTCCTCCGAGAGCAGTGATTATTGAGAATATGGCACCCCACTGTGCCATCCTGGCAGACAGACACAAAGAGAAGACAGCATGTGGAAAGGAGCAGAAAGGAAAAGAGTGTCTCTTTTGGTGTTTACGCAGTGTTCTTCCTTAATTACAATCAAATGCTCCCAACGACTAGCACAAATAAACTCTGTCTATCCATACAGTCAGCATGACCTGCACACAGTCAGCAGCTTGTGTAGTACTGCAGTAATACGTTGGAGCTGGCTTCTTGCTCACTGGTTTATCTCCTCTCAGCTCAGGCTTAGCCAGGCATCAGCTGGGACTCAGTGACCTTGTCACACTTGAAAGAGGATTGAGGCTAAAGCGTGAAAACATTGTAACCTCTCGTCATGCATAAAATAAACTGGCCAGTGCATTCTACAACATTCGCTAACACATGATAACGTTAATTTTAGCTATTTTAAGATGAAAGAATTGGACGAGGAGCTGTCTCTAAGCTTTGGTTAGTAAGGATTTGCTAAGATACAATCTGGTGACCCTGCTGGCACAATACTGGACTTGTCTTAAAAGTCATTATGTTTATACAGCAGTGTTTCTTTCATGCTTTCATGTTAGATCCTATTATATACACACGGTACACACACATTTCCCTTTCTGCAGTTGGTGCTTTTGTATTTTGTTGTTTGTTTTGATGCCGATTATGTTTTTCTTAGAAAATTCTAATTTTTCATGTAAATGAACCAAAATACAATTAAGTGAGATGTTAGAATCAACTGATCTGCAATAGGAACTTTTTTTTTTTTTAAGAAAAAGGTGTGTCGTTAGAAGGAAAGAAGGTAACACTCATCTTGTATCGTAGCAAAGGCACAAAACGGCTTAACAAAATACAACATTGTTTAACATCTTGCACGAATAAAAAAAGGTATTCCGACAATTCCAGCATTTAGAATTATCGAACAAATACAACATGTGTGAATAAAAATGTTTACGAAAAGTGGTGGACTTCCTCTGCTTCACGGAAACTAACGTTAATGATACAGCTTTCGAATAGTTCAAAGTTCAAACTTTATTTAAAAAAAAAAAAAAAAACACAATTTCTGGTAACACATGTATGCCGAATATAAGCGACGAATCTAAAGATGTGTATACAGCCGTAAATTAATCATATTGTGACAGGTATGTGTGAATGATTAGAAACTCAACTTAAAATACCCAAACATTTTAACAGAATTTGGTTTCGAGCGCTTCGGAGCTAGCTGTGATAGCATAATGCAAGTTACTATATTACTGCTGCTTCAAAAAGAGGAGGCGTTTTAAATAGCAGACCGGTTCAGTGATACTATCAGTTAGTTTACCAAGATGTCACAACCTAGCAACGCTTATTGTTATTAACGTTACCGTTTGCGTGAAAGCACAACACAAGGCCAATATTGATGACCCGTTGCTAACGTTAAGTTATCAAACAATATCAGCACTTTTCATCTCCTTTAGACAAGCTACTGTTATATTAAACACGACTGGGGATACCATATACTTTGATTAAATACAGAGTAACACATCTTCGTCTTGCCCAACAGGTCTTACCTGTAACTTTGCCCGGGAGGACCCCAACAACAGATAAGAAACAGAAGAAGACACCTGCTACCGTCTTCCTCCTCTTCTTCTTCGTCGTCTTCTTCTTCTTCTTCTTCTTCTTAGTCAGCCAAGTTGCTACATTAGCGCCCTCTCGTGTGTGGTCAACAAGCCATTGAGTGAGTCGACCAGATTCCAGAGACCAGAGTCGACTCGTAATTTGGTCATTTGGGGCCGTTGCTGTCGAGAGGTAAATATGATTAACTTGTTTATTTGAAATTAAACAACCTATTTACAGTACACGGGGGGGACAATGTGTGCTTTCCATAAAAAGAAAACAGCATACTTTCGACAAGATCAAGGATTTACACTCTTGGGGCACGCCTGTGACTTAAGGCGCTGTCCATAAACAGCACTGTTCCTGGTTCAAGTCCAGCTGGTGATCTTTGTTGCATCTCTCTCTCCCTCATTTCCTGTCATCTCTCTGTTGTTTCTGTCTAATAAAAGCACAAATACCTCCCAAATCATAAAAAGGACACACACTCTTTGTTGTTGTTATCTCCCCCAATGGAACAAAGTGGCGTTAATATCTTCCTGTTCTTCCCTTTTCCCAACACTCCATAAAGCTGTCCTGCAAATTAGTGTTTATTAAATTAAGTAGTTAATTAAATTAGTGTTGTTTTTAGTTGCAAGGTTTCTTTGACTGTCCACCTCATTTGAACCCATAATAAGCCAAAAGTCTTGTGTTAATGAGCCTCCAGGAAATCCAACACTGCAAACTGTGGAGGTAGAAGTTGCCTACTAGTAGTAAAAATATTTGTCTTTCCCATCTTTCAGCAAAGATGTGAAAGTTGATGAGAAAAGTGTTCTAATGTGAACAGCAGATGGAGACAGAGACCAGCAGAGACGCACAGCTTCATTTGATCATGAGAAAACTGTAGAAAAGCACACATTAGGCCTACTATCTTGGCATGCTTTTTAGAATTTTGGAGACTTTCACCGCTATCTGGCAGCAGATGTTTATTTTAAATATTCATTCATTTGCAGTGGATAAGGTTTGCAGAAAGTCTGGCATTTATAAAAGAATATTACAATCTACCGATTACAAAGAGCAATCGCTGTAAAAAAAGATTAATCAAAAAGTCTATATATTTAATTTGCAATCAGCAGCAAGCCACTGGAAGTGAAACGCAGCTAAGGGTCTTGACACTATAATGGCTGTGGTGCTTTATTTTTAGACGTTGGCCTCTTGAGAAATTTTACAAAGGACCAGAGCTAACCCCAAGGTGCTGCAGTGGCAGCTCTGTGCCCTGCATTTTAAACAGGGAGGGGCGGGGTGATGGAGGGGAAAGGGAACAACAGAGCAAGGGAAAAGAAGTTTGTCAGAGTTCATTAAGTATCAAGGGAACATCGCTGGAACTGGCAGCGTAAGCCGCGCCGGGGCCCTAGTGCCATTAATCACGACTGACAAGAAACCAGGGGCTGAGGGAGGGAGGGAGGGGGCAGCTCTGCCAGAGACTCTGGTAGTGATTATAGAACGGGGTCCAAGCAGTCCGGGCCAGGGGTGTTGAAGGTAAAACACACAGAGCCAAGGCTATAAAGTTCAGGTACCTTCACAAAGATCACGCTCACATAATCACAGAGAGACTGAGAAGATACCCAGGCCCAAACACAACAGGGCGATTGTAGAAAGATTGGAATATTTTGGTTTGGGAAGAGAAGTATATAGTAGTGGAGTGGCTCCCTTTGTGTATTTCACCCTCTCTCCCTCATTTATATGAGCCGAGCCTCTGGCTTAATAGCATGCAGGAGGACGAGAGTGGAAGTGCGGCAGTAACAGAGTGTCGCCCATATATCTCTGTCGTCCTGCCTTATTTTCTCTCTGCGCCCCCAGAAATCTTGTGCTAGCTCACCACACTGCTGCCACCCTGGAAGAAGAAATAAATGGGAGAGAGAAAGGGGAGAAAAGAAAGAGGAGAGCTCGTGACTCGTGAAGATGGAGGCCTCTGTTAAGTGCTGTGCTTGAAAGCCCGTCCGGCCTCATTAGCTGTCAGTTGTAACAATACTGAGCTGGCAGCGAAGACTGCTCCCAGTCTCGGTGCCATAAATCACAGGCTGACAGGGCCCTGACAGGGCTGGGAACCAACACACATGCAAGACTTGCTTGCTTTCTGTCTCTCTGCTGTTCCCTTTGCTTTTGCTCCTCTCCCTCTCTTTCTGCAGCTCATTCTTTTTCTTTCTTTATCCCCCAGTTCCCTCTCTCTTTGTCAGCACCACTCCCTTTCTTTCTATTTCTCTCTCTTTTATCTGTCTCTTTCCCTCTCTTTCAAACACACTTACAGCACATTGCTGCATGTCAGCACACAGCCCAGGACACATGTGCTCACACGAACACACACTTGCCTTTTGCAGCACTTTTTTTTCTCCTTTCGGCGTCATGTACATAAGTGTGTGTGACGGGACAGCTTTGGAAAAGTCTGTGATTCTTTGATGGATGAGATGTGTTCACTGGGTCTGTCTGTGAATGTGCAAATATAGTTTGTTCTTCCTCCTTCTTCTTGGTGTAACATTTCTCAAAGCGTACTATTGTGCCTTTTAGGGAATATATATTTACATGTATATGTTTGTCTAGTAGGTCGGACTCTAGCTGTCTAATATTCCTTGGTTGCAATCTAGGACTTGAAATGTATCTATTGTTAAAATTATAAGTGTTTAACAGCTTTGTTCTCTTGTTAAAGAAATATTCACTAGGAAGGATCACACAATCAACAGATACGATTAAATGATTTATTGATGATCGAAATGGAAAGATGTATGAGGCTTGCAGTTGCTGAATAGACATTCGAAAGCGTTGTGGGGAAGGTACGATAGGGATATCCACCGTAGCACCCGGGCAAGACGGACCCTCTAAAACCCTATGGAGAGGAAGAAGGAGATCAGGAGGCAAGAGCGAAGAAGACGATATGGGACGTGTGGGTATTTATGGAAATGCTGGCAATGACGTGATTGATGTGTGGTCCTGCTCCTGAAACTCTGCTAATTAGCTCCACTTCAACATATTGGGAAATCTGCTTTTGCCATGGTAAGATGGAAGATCAATATCACTCTCATGTAAATAAAGCCAGGCGATTAGCTTAGCATAAAGACTGGAAGGTTGATCCTGGCTAATAACCATAACCCTAACCCCCCTGTAAAGCCACAAATTGTTATTTTTACACAAGATATAGTTTGCTTTTGATCAAAGCCAGGCTAGCTGTTTCCAGATGTTTTTTTGCCATGTGGGAGAAGTGAAAACAACTTGTAAATTATATCCGCTTTAATGGACAGATTTGACAGTGGTATGAGAAATGTTATTCTCTCTAATACTGACCTAAGTTGCTTGCCGTAGTTGAAGAATTGAAAAAAAAAAATGCCAAAAGGAGTTCAGATAGAAAAATAGCTGACACGTTGTGTGTTCTTTGAGAAGAAAGTAAAGTTCCATAAAAGCCTAACTTTGACTCCTGTGGTGTTCTGAAGTTGTCTGACAGAACACCACAGGAGCTAAGATCTAAGGAACCTTTTCATTACTTACAAGTAATACTGCAAAATACTAGTTCAGTGCTTCAAAAGCAAATAACTAGTTCCGAGTAGTTTGAACTGTTCCTTTAAGATGCTTGATGTAGCTTCTCTTCCTTTGTCTAAATGAAATTGCACCTCAAGTATAGAGAATAGTCAAAACCTAAGCACTTACTTTGACAAGTGCACTGTCAACTTCAAAACTTCAAAGTGGAACATAAAAAGGTCTCTTCAAACTGCAGTCAGTGACTCCAGAAAAACCCGGACCCCCATAAAGCTGACCCCCACTTCAGGTCAGAGGAAGACACAATTTGCTGATGTCACATGATGGGGCTGCTGACATGCAAACAATTTCAGTGCAGCTTTAAATGTAAATACACGTGTGTATTTGCATGTGGAGGATGTTATGGTCTGTTTGGGTCCACGAGGCAGAGCAGGAGCAGCTACAGCCGTCTGACAGCGTCCATTATGCTGATGCGTGATGACGTGTGTGACGTGACTGGAGAGGAAGGAAGTTGAAGAAAGCTGGGGCTGTGGGTCATTAATCACTGCTCGGTGACACGTGAACACACACACACACACACACACACACACACACACACACACACACGTACATGTAGCTATGAGGCTTGGGGGGAGGGGGGTACTGGTGCTGAGCTTGCAGTTGGAATAAACCCAAGTGAACATGTATACATGCATTAAGTGAATACATATATAGTGTGTGTGTGTGTGTGTGTGTGTGTACATATACATACACAAAGAATGAGCTCACAGCTGGGCTACATGCCTCACTCCCCCGCCAAGCTCCCACACTCCTCCTCCATTCCAGCGCTGCATACTTGTACCCAAACAGAACTCAGTTGATCTAGCAGACTCTGGTTCAGTTTAGGTTGGATTTTGCATTTAAGTATAATGTTGGCGACAGTTTATAGCAATTTAACATCACCTTCTTTATCCTTTTGTAAGGTTTCACATGTGTGTCCCCTCACTAAAAGCTACCTTAAACTTGCGTAGGGCTGCTCCCAAGTGACTTCTGTATCTTGGATCCCTCTCTCTGATGAGTCGGTCCTCAAAATGTCTTAAAAACCTGAAATCTGAAAGAACTTTCAGCAAGCAAAGCAGCATTATAAACCACTAAGTTTTAATCTACAATAGCAAATGTTTTGCACTCGAGGGCAGCAGAAGCAAGTTGTGAACACAGCATTGACATGCTATACCTTTGAAATGGCGAACTTGTTCCATCCAGCAGACACGGAGCTACATTATCAAATATTTGGAGTCATGTTTTAAGGAACCTGGTGAATTTAAGTCTAATATTCTTTCTCCTGTTTTGGTCTCCAGGAAATCCTGCGGGAAATATTTGGCTATTTGCCGCTAAATGCTCAGCGTACTCCTGGCAACTCCAATGTAACCCATCCACATCAGGTAACACAGTGTAATCAAAGATGACTTATATTTTAAGTTACTTACCGTTCCATATGTGAGTTATGTCACATACTTATTTCAACCCAAAGCAAGATCTTTTCCTAAACCTAACCAAACTGCGACCACTTCACAACATTAACCACATCTTAAAAAAGCTTTTCATGCGGACACTGAAGGGTACCTTTATATATCAAATACTTGTGCTTTGAAATGTTCTATTATGTTCACAAGCTAGTAGCTAACGTTGGCTGTCTGCTGTGTGGTGCTCAGCAGGTAGTGTACAGTGGGTTTTTAGTAGTTTTTCCCTGAAAAGGGCTGCCTGCTCTAGTTAAGAAGTATGGTAATGAGAGTGAATCAAAACAGCTGAGTTGTGGGCAAGAAAACCCAAGTAATGATTTGAAAGATGTTATAAAACTGAGAAATGAGAGGAGCTGCAGAGTCTGATTTTCTGTTGGCTTGTCACTATGAGCAACCCATTTCACATTATAAGTAATAATTTGATCATTTTTAACAGCAACTTTAAAGTAAAGTGAGCAATTCATTCGGTCTGTTGCATCCTGATTACTCTAGTTGGACGATGTGACACCAATAATAATAGGTGACTTAAAAGGTTTCGACGCCTGCTCTCATTCCCCTCTCCTCTCGTTTTCTCAGTATCATCTGTTACCATTACTGGATGAGAGTTTAGGATGTCCTGCTCTTCACAGTGCTGCAGAATCCCAGAGGAGGTTCCAGCACAAAGTTACACAACTGGCCTCTCTGTCTGCCGTGCTACATTAATCTTCCCCTGGTTGCAGAAATCTCCCTTTAACATCTTCCTCATGGGTGTCCGCTGTGTGTGTGTGTGTGTGTGTGTGTGTGTGTGTGTGTGTGTGTGTGTGTGTGTGTGTGTGTTTGTGCATGCATGTGTGGGTGGACAGGGTAATTGGTCCAGTGAATGTGCCCAGGTCTGCTCAGGCCAAACGCTGCTGCAGTGTACATACAGTGTATTTGCTGTGCTGAGCTGTGGGGGTGTGGGAAAGCGATCAGAGTGGACTTTAGAGGAAACTGTGGAAGAATGAGGAAATTGCAGACAGATAGGACTAATGGTTGCGCTGAGGGAAGAGGTTGTAGGGCCAACAGCTGCTAGCCATCCATCTGGACCAGCCCTGAGTGCTGGACGAGACCACTCTGCAGTGACGTATTCACCTTCTGGGGACGGGTGCACTGGGACTTTCCATCAGAGCAGGCTACATAAGTATTTGCAATAAATTCATGGAGTTTGTTTTAAAATCCCTTGAAGGCCCAGTTTATTCAAATGCAATAATAATAATAAGATTTAGTTATGGCTATGGTGAATATGGATTGTTGCAGCAGCAAGTAGCAAGGTTTTACTGATTTAAGTTCAGCAAATGCAAAATATTTCAATTGGTCAGAGGTCAGATCACTATGGTGTTATGTCAACGGAAAATACAGAGTGTCAAAACAAACGTATAAACACTCGCTGGCCACTTTATTAGGCACACTTTTTTAATTGCTTGTTAATACAAATAGCTAATCAGCCAATCACATGGCAGCAACTTAATGCATTTAGGCATGTAAATGTGGTCAAGACAGCTTGCTGAAATTCAAACCGAGCAGAAAAAAGGGGAATTAATTGACTTTGTACATGGCATGGTTGCTGGTGCCAGATGGGCTGGTCTGAGTATTTCAGAGGCTGCTGGTCTACTGGGATTTTCACACGCAACCATCTCTAGGGTTTACAGAGAATGGTCCATCCATCCATCGTCAACCGCTTATCCTGCGTACAGGGTTGCGGGGGGCTGGAGCCAATCCCAGCTGCCATCGGGCGAAAGGAAGGGTACACCCTGGACCGGTCGCCAATCCAGTGAGCGGCAGTGGACGATGCCTCGTTAATGTCAGAGGTCAGAGGAGAATGGGCAGACTGGTTCAAGATGACAGAAAGACAACAGTAACTCAAATAACCACTCGTTAAAACCAGGGTATGCAGAATACCATCTCTGAACGCGCAACACGTCAAACCTTGAAGCAGATGGGCTACAGCAGCTGAAGACCACTCCTGTCAGCTACGAACAGGAAACTGAATTTCAAGAAACTACATTTCACACAGGCTCACCAAAAGAGGACAATAGAAGATTGGAAAAATGTTTCCTGGTCTGATGAGTCTCAACATTCAGATGGTAGGGTCAGAATTTGGCATAAACAACATGAAAGAATGGATCCATCCTGCCTTATATCAAAGGGTCAGGCTGGTGGTGGTGTGGGGGATATTTTCTTGGCTATCCCTAGGTACCAACTGAGCATTGTTTAAACACGACAGACTACAGATCTCAATCCAATACAGCACCTTTGGGATGTGGTGGAATGGGAGATTTGCAGCTGACAAATCTGCAGCAAACGCATGATGCTATCATGTCAATATGGATCCAAAGTCTCTGAGGAATGTTTCCAACACCGACCAGGTACTAGCAAGGTGTACCTAAAAAAGTGTCCGGTGAGTGTGTATGTGTAAATGTTTTGGTTTATTACTGTTAGCCTTGCACATAATGCAGTACATCATCTAAACTGAGTACAAATCTTGGAAACCTTCCAGTACAAGACGATTGTGGGCAAGAAAGCGTACCAACATACTGCAATATAGTCTCTCAAACCTTTGTGAAATACCATTCTAAAACAGAATATATATTATGTTTTGGACATGAATCATGTAAAGACTATGTACCTCCAACAGCAAGTTGATTTATGAGCCGGAAACTACACCCAAGCAACCACAGTGCTATTTCTATATTTCTTTCAAGGTGAGAAAAGTTCCTCTCTGTGCCTAAACGGAGAAATGTTTTTGCAATTTATGGGAATAGTTTAACATTCTGCTGAGAGTTAGATGAGGAGATCGATACTCCTCTCATGTCTGTATGGTTAATATGAAACTAAAGCCAGCAGTGAGGATACTTACATTAGCACAAAGACTGGAAACGTGGGGAAACAGGAAGACTATCTCAGACCAAAGGTAAAAAAGTCCAGAATGTGTAACGCTCACTAATTAAAGGGATAGTTCTGATTTCTTTTGAGTGGGGTGGTATGACGTACTTACATTACATTTAATTATTTAGCTGATGCTTTTATCCAAAGCGACTTATAATTGCTATATATAGCCGCTTTTCGACCAAAGGTACCGGGGACTTTTAAGTCCCCAGATCTCTTTTCAAGGAACTTAAAGGTTTCTTCAGCCCACTGTTGTGTGCGTTTCCACCGTGGTCTAAAGACCTGCGAAGATTAGACAAATTAATCAGCTGCCGTAGGCTGTAGCCATACAAAGTGATGCACAGGCATCATTATTTGTAACCACTATCCATGAGCAACATTTATAAATGAACATCGGATTTGACTGGAATATAATGAAAAACTACAGGCTTGCTTAACCAGTAAAGCAGCTTTTTTGTGTGGGAGCTATAATGAAGAGACACACGATAAAGTTCGTTACACATTTAATAACAAACTGGATAAAGCCATAAAGTTCTCAGTTTGGAAGGTTATTAAACATTTCCAGCCGACAAGAGCTGCAGATCAGCTGCAGCATCACGTCTGTGTCCGCCTGCGTTGGAAGAAGGGGATGTTTAACCAGCTTTATTACCTGCTGTAATCAGCTGTTTCGCTTGTTACGGAGAGGAGACGGAATTCGGCTCCGTGTAGAAACTTCCTGGCTGATGAAAACTTAAAACAACAACTCAGGACCCAGTATTTAGCATAACTCCATCAGCTGTTCACTGTAAACACACCGCTGCAGCTGGCTGCTATTTCCCAGCTATAAATTTAATGCCGACATACAATCTCAGGCGGACATCGATGAGACTTGCGTGGATAACAAACTGGATAAAACCATCAAGTTCTTAAAATAAGTCCAGCACAGAGAAAGCAACACAAAAATAAAATCGCGACAGTTTGGAAGGTTATTAAAACACATCGGCAAGACTTGTGTGGCTATCTGACTGTTGATTGTGATTTATTGGTTTGCAAACAAAGGTGGAAAAGAGACGCGCAGTCGTCAGCAGACATTCTCCAGTTACAGCCAGTAGCCTCTACTCGCCAATTGTACCGGTACTTTCGGAAAGTACTACCCCCCCCCGAGCAGGTACTTTTTGGGGGGTAAAATGAAGACCCCAGAACTACATTTAGACCCTGGCCCCTCCAGTGGAAAAACAGTGAGTTCCTCCAAAGGTTCCTACTTCTGGGGTACATAGTTCCTTTGGTTGAAACGCAGCTTATGTCAGAGGTCACACGCCTCTGGAGCAACGGATAAGTGTCTTGCTCAGGGATACACTGGTGGATGGGTCACAGTAGGGACTTGAACCCGGCTCTCTCACACCAAAGGGCACCGCACCGCACAGGTGCTTAAACGCAGTGAGTGTATTGCTATGGCAGACTGCACACCCCCAGTTTGGAGAAGCAGACAGGAATAGTAGCACAGAAGCTAAGCAATGTACTGCTATGGAAGGGGGCAGCAGCTAAAAAAAATAAATATCAGTTAAAACGTGCACTAGTGAGAATAATTTCACCAAACTCCACACATTAAACTATTCTTTTAAATTACTAATAACTTGCTTCATGTGTGCAAACTTCCCACCTTGAAAGGAACAGTTTGATTTAGAGCCACAGATTTATGGGCGTATGGGCGTATGGGCTAAGCTAAGCGAACTTGCTGCTGGCTTTGGCTTCATGTTTAGCACACAGATACAGTTTGGATGCTACAAATTATTCCTAAGACATTTGAAAACATAAAAACATGTCTTGACACCATGCTGTTTATTCAATTGTAAATTCCTTGCCCTTTAAAGAGGTGTTGTTAGGTAATGTTTTCTACAACACAGGCCAGATAAACATTACAGCTGAGCAATGAGAGAAATATTACTTATTCTGTTCCAATCTCATCTGTGAGGAGGTATATTGGCAAGTGACAAATGAAAGCCTACGTACATTTGGACAGCTGTTTGATTCATTCTTTATGGAGCATCGATCCTGTTGTTGATGTTCAATCATGGAGCCATAAAATAAAAAAAAGGGCTCAGCTAACCTTCTCTGGTTTGTGTAGCTGATTTGTCAGAGCAGAGGGTAAAAGCTGACGAGGAGAATTCCCTCACTGCTCTCCTCTGTTGCCTGATCCCTCCTCAACTCCTCTGGCCATGTGGACCAACACGCCACCACACATATGAATACATGCGTGTGCACCCAAACTCACACACACACACACACACACACACACACCCTCTAACCTCACTATGGTCTCACACAGCAGGCCTGCCATAAATCAATGGGCAGGATCGTGTCTGCCAGTTAGACTAAACAAGAGCATTTGTGAGGATTTGCTCTCACCCATTAATCATCTTGACAGCTTGAAAAACACATTTCCCCTTTAATGACTGTATTTGGATAATCAGCTCTGTTTCCCTTCCCGCCCTCTCCCTGGCTCTGCCTCCCATCCCCTCCCCATTTTCTTCTTCTATATATTTTTTTTTTTGTTTGCCCAGAGCGCCATCATAGGCATGTGGGTAACTCACTATTAGAGGAGGAGAAGGTGGAGGAGGGACTGTAGAGGTGAGGGAGGGGTCTCTCAACGTCTAAAAGGCTTCTCCAAAAAAGTAAAAATAATCACGCCGCCTGTGGAAAAACATTTTTTTCACCCTCACTCAACAAACCGCAAGGCCTCTGCTAATATAAACTTGTGTGTGTGAGCACACACTCTCACACTGACACAGTCGTGCTAGATTAAACACAGAAAACTCATGGATGGTGTGGAACCACTAACATGAACTATGAACGTGTGTAAAGGTTGTCGGGAACTTAAACATGTAAATGAAAATATGAAAACGTAAGGCAAAATGTGTGTAATGAGTTGATGTGACCAGGAGTTCCTACATGTTGCAATCAACACACCCAGCCACAATTCAATTTCCCCCCTCAAAAAATGTATTTCTTTATTTTTTATTTTTGAAAACAGAATTTGAAAGTGTCACATTGAAAAATGTTGTGTTTTACTGATACATTTCAGCAATTTAGAGCTGACTCCAACTTGCAGTCGAGTTAAAAAGGTAGTCGAAGTAAGTAGTCATATTGTAGTTTTGTCTACCTCCAATATGATGAATGTAAAGCAGGCTGACTAATTACAGAATATTTACTGTAGAACTGAACAGTATTAAAGTGCTTCTCATGGGGAAATCATTCAAGTGCCACTCCACTGATTTTACACATCTAGATTATTATATACTAAACATTACTATCCA